TGCAAAATTGTAAAGAGTTATTTTTTTACTTCGTTTTTTTCATTCTTGCAAGTAAAAAGAGCTTGTGAGTTGCTTACTAGTTACTTCACATGCTCGGCAAATGGCATTATGGCCTTAATGAATTTTAATTAGAGTAGAATTTCGTGCTATGCGTACATTTATTATGTATAAAAAATGTTTGCAACTTGGTAAAGAGAATCCCTAATAATCGTACATTGTATTTTGAGAAAATGCATGTATTTTCCCATTAAGGACCACACCAACTTTGTTATATGGAGATAATCCCCACTTGCATATATCATTCTCTGCTATATAGTATAGCCGATATTTAACATAACTATTAAGAAAAACAAAAAAAATGTTAATATCAGAGATCTTAAGTTTAGTCACAAGACTTATAACATAGTCTCTTTATTTTGCAGGACATGCAACAATAACAAAAACAGCTTATGTCTGTAAAGCTTGATATAAGATCGTATCATCTATGCCTTACCAACATGAAATCATATTCATTCCAATCAGTGTTTGTCATCATCTATATTTTAAATGGTAAAAACTAAAAAGATTCGGTCCTTTTACATATAAATATGGTCAACACTAATTTAAAACCACAAAACACCAAAAATCAGAAAGAAACCAAATGATGATTCTATACTAATTCTAGATAGTTATTTTATAACTTTTTTTATTTTTGTTTTGTTTACCGGAGATAATCTTCTATAATATTACTAGAAAACTTCTAAAAGTTAAACCTAATTTAGGTGTGGTCCAGTTGAAAACAATTGCATCTTGAACTCATAAATAATTTGATCCAAAATCAAATTTAATTTCGATATTATATATCCCGACTGGGTTTATCCGAAATCTATTATATTAAAACAGAAGCACTTTTAGTGTTTGTTTCCAAACACTCCCAAAGTTTTTTTTTTTAGATATTATTTTATATATATAAATTTGATTTCAAAAATTTGATATTAATTTAGATAACTACAGATTCCTTAAATATAGCTTATATTTAATTTAAAATTCAAACTATTTATTTTTGTAATTAATTTAATTCTTTAAAATATATATATATATTAATTTAAATTATTTTAAATATCCTTAAATATCAGTTAGATTTAATTTAACATTTAAAATTTAAATGATATTTTTAAAATAACATATATGATTACAAATATCTTATTATATTTTTTTAATTATATTCAATCAGATTAAAATTTCATATATTAAAAACTGATAAATATTAATATTATATGGTAAGTTAATGGACGGTTTAAGTTTTTTTATAATTATAATTTTATGCGGGTTAAGTTATCAAAAACATGCAAGATATTAAGAAAAAAATTATTTCAAAATTATGAAGTATTTATATTATATGATAATATAAAGTATGAACAGGCGGACTAGAATATGCGAGTTAGAAATATGTTTTATAATAATGGTCATTTTTTATTAATAAAATGACTGTGTTAGAATTATATTTTTATGATCATGGTCATAATAATACTAGAAAAAAATTAAAAATAAATTATATCTAAACAAAAAAAATCTTTATCACTCATTAGAAAAATTATATCTATAAAAATATATAAATTGCATAGCAAATTTGGATTTATAAAAAAAAATCTCGTGCGGATGCACGGAGTAAAATCTAGTACTTCTATTACAAAAGAAACCTAAATCAAATGTTTTTCTTACATTAGAATTTGAAGGTCAGATTTCAAATAATCTCAATCTTACTATGATTTTATCCTCGCTCTAAGAGAACTACACATTTGGATGAAAACGAGGGGCTTTGATTGACGTGCACCAACTTGGGAAATGGCTCAGAATAAGAGTTGGGAGACTGTGAAGATCCTTCATCGTTTTCCCTCAATTAAACTAAACTCCAAAACAAAAAAGTGGGGTCCGCTTTGAAGGATTTGTGTCTATTAAAAGTTCCACGTCGCGGCAAAATCAGAGACGTCAGATTCATAATACAAGTCTAGTAGAAAAATGCAATGTGTGAAAGCCCAGCCTCTCTCTAAACTTGTAAGCTAATTGGGCTCTCTCTTTAAAACCCATTCAAAGGCCATTAATATTCTCCCTCGGATTAAGTAAGATGATCGTTTTCTTTTGTATATGGGTCAGCTTCTTACTCCCACTTGCATTCACCATTGTCATCATTGGTATATGGAAAGAACCGGACTTAAACAAACACCATACCATCCAGCAAAGAAGCAACCAAAAAGAGTTATATATTAGGAGGCCTTATATAAAACTAAGAAGCTACGGAAGTCTCTACTAACATTGATAAAAGGCGGATCAGTTAAACCAAGGATTCACAAAAGGCGGAATATGTCGTAGCAGTAGAGTAAACTCAATCCAGGAGATCGGAGAGAGGCGTCTTCTTGAAGGGATCGGCCTTAGCGAGCTGAGCAGCCAATCTCGTGTTGGGGAAGACGTTATCAGCTTTCATTCTGTCCTTCATTCCATAAGCTGGAGTTTTGGCATTGACATAAGCCTGGACAAGGGATTGGAACTGCCTGAAGCGAGATTGATAGCCAGCTTGCCTCATCTTCTGGAAGATTTTCTCTGAGTTGTGAACATCACCTTTTCTTGCATACTCGTCCATCACGTACATAAAGGAGCTCATCAACGGTTTTATCTGTTTCGACTCTGTTGCCTTTCTCAGTGTAGAATCAGCCTTCTCTACTTCCCCAGCTTCCACATAGAGCTTGATTAGTGCATCCCATGTTAAGGCTCCGATATTGCACCCACTGTCCAACATCCGCTTCACAAGATCTTTACCCTCTGAGACCATCTTGTGATCCACGTAAACCCTCAAGAGAACGGAGTATATACTAGAGGAAACTCTATGGCCCATCTTCACCGACTTCTCAAAAACCGCCTCTGCTTCTTTAACTTTATTAATCTTTCCAAAAGCCAGGATCGCAGCAAGAGACTCCTCATAAAAGGGGTTTTCTTCACAGATCCTCCAAATTCTTGTCACTTCATCCGCCCTCTGGAGAGAGCCATAGATGGAAAGCAAAATCTTGCACACATGCCGATTAGCCTCCAAGTTTTCACCTTCCATCTCTTGCAGCACTTTCTCTGCCTTCTCTTTAAGGCCAGCTGATGCATAGTGTCTTGCGATGATAGATTGTGCACGAAGGTCAAGCTCAACACCTTCACTTTTCATCGCCTCCACAATCTGTTCCATACCACTTATGTCATTTGATGATCCTTTGGCGTCAATCAGGATTTTGTATGTGTAAAGACTCGGCTTCAGATTTTCATTCTCCATCAACAGTAACACATCGGCTATTTTCTTCTTGTCGACCCTCTTGTAAAGCATAAGCATCTGATCACAAGCATATGATGTCCGAGGGAACCCCAAACCTTTCATTTTGTTGAAAACTGCTTCTGCTTTCCTCACATTGCTTGTTGCCGCATAGTTCGACAGGAGAGTACGGTAGACCAATTCCCCTCTGAAAGATTCCGGTATTCTCTCAATATAAACTTCTCCCTTGTGCAGACCACGTATCTTGGCAATCAGATCAAGCCGAGAAGCATAATCTCTCTCTTCCAATTCAAATGGCTTATTTTCTTCCAACCATTCTGCCATCTATAAAAACACAAGACAGCGCATAAACGAAAGGAAAACCACTTAGAGAACTTAAAGCAGATAAATCTAGTCTCTAGAGACCAAACAGAGAGTTTTACTGAGAGCCAACCAAGTTTCTTTGATATGCAACAGATTGATATTCAGTCCTTGTTGAAACAAAATGTAATATGTACCTGCAATGCTCTCCCATACATCCGACGCCTACGGAGTTGTAGCATCGCATTTGCGATCTCAGTGCGGTTGATCTCCTTTCCTTCTTCAACCCATTTATCAAGTGCACTTGCTACAGAGAGACCAGAGACAGCAAGAATGTCCTTAAACAGCTCTGATGATCTCTTGCTTGCCGCTTTTTTACCAGCCTCAGGGTGTAGTAGTTCCATTTCTGCTCCTTCAATGTCACCATCGTCACCGGACAACTCCTCCTCAGACTGAAGCCCATCTTCACTATCACCACTAGTCTCGTTTGGAGTTTCAAGGTTTTCGAGGTCATCTTCCTCCCCGGCACTTTTAACGCCAGCGTCAGAGGAAAGTGCACGTCTTCCGGTAAAGGAACTCCATGAGAGCTCGAAAAATGTAGGGAAAGCTTCGTATCTATCATGTATCAAAGAGTTTGATTCAGTAGCACCGTTCTTTTCTCTCAGTGGTATCTCTAGCTTAGAGTAGTACACAGCATTGCAAGCTCCTAATCGGAGACTTTGGCTTCTGAAAAAGTTATAATCAAGTGAAGCTGCTCAATCTCCTGAAACTATGTATACCATTCAAAACAGAGAGTAAGCATTTTCAATGGCGCATCTAAAGTTTAGAGACCAACCTCCTTAAAACCTTGGAAAGAGCGAACATATCTCCTCCTCGACAGAGATCGATTCACCGGAAGTGATCTGCTAATTGAAAAGATAAAACACACAGACAAAACAGAATCAGGAGACAGAAAGGCAAAAAAATAACAAGCTATGTCGAATTTGGAGAAAATGCTATGCATTTCACTCGAAAGATCAGAGCAAGAACTTTAATTTTTTTAACGATTACAGAAAATTCAAAGTCTAGCGTTGTTGGGGAGGATGAGAGAGTACAGAGTGGAAGTGGAGAGCAAGCGAATTGAGGACGAAATAGGATAAAAGCCAAAACCAGGAGAGCAGATAGCTGAAATGGAAGGGTTTAGGGTTTTCCACTCTCTGCGTTTGATTTCTTCGATGTTTGCCTCATTTTGGGAATGGCAAAATTGTAAGCTATCTCAAATTGGGTTATCTATTGGATCCAATTTGTAACAAGGCCCATCTTTTTTTTAACGAAATCGCTAATAATACTACTTTTTTGGTCAACGGTTGCTATTTATGCTTGTTCCATGTTGATCGGTTTGTGTTCTCAACCTCCCGGAATCAAATATACAGAAAAAATGTTCATTTTATTGAAAAAAATGACAAGCCAAAACTTCATGAGGATTTTGTAGGAAGCCAAAAAAAAAAAAAAAAAAGGAGAAGGGATCATTCTAGTCTCCAACTATGATATCAAAAGCTAATATAATAAGTAACGCTTTTTCATTTGGCTTCTGAGGCTTTCTCATTTATACGCAGACTTTCAGCTTTACGCACAACCTCCTCTGCCACAAGCTTCACGTGACCGCTCAGATTACTCTCCTCATGGTTCACTGAACCCACCTCCCATATTCTGACCGTCCCGTCTTCTGAGCCTGACGTGTATGACTCCCCTCCTGGTGCATACCTCACGCAATGCACTGGTCCGTGGTGACCCTTGTTACACCCTGCATTCACCGGATTGGCTTAAAAAGGCTACACACAGATTCCTAAAATGAAACCCAACAAATCATTTCTTTTTCTTCGAAAAAACTCACCAATCTCCTCTCCAGTCCGGAAATCAAACCTATGGACCCACATATCTTCTCCTCCAGCAATGAAAGTGTTCCCGTGTTTCGGTTCCAAGGATGCCGATTCAACGTTGCAAGGCATCTCATAGCTCTTCAGCAATCCAAAACTAGGAGAGCAGGAGAAAAAGCTCTAGCATAAAGGGGTCAAAGAAAACGATAAAACTGTAACTGAGCATGTATATATACATCTGAAACTTACTTATTGGCGTCCCAAAATTTAACACTAGATCCATCAGCAGTAGTTATGTATCGCCCATCATGACTTACTTCAGCACTAGTAACTGGGAACTTTGTTTCTAATGTTTGAACAATCTTGTCACTTCTTATGTCCCATAACCTACAGAAGCACATATACAAGAGGACGATGAAACTAAGGAATACTAGAGGACTGAGTCTAAAGACAGGAACGAGGTGGTGACATACCTAACGTCACCAGTATCTGTGCAAGAGCTTAATATAGTATTATCACTATGAAGCCATTCGACAGTTCTGATTGAACCAGGAGAATTTCCAACTTCTTTTGGAGCTGCGTCTGGTCGATTCAAATCGAATATCCGAAGAATTTTCTCCATTCCACCAGTGAGTAAAAGATGAGTGTCCTAAAATGTAAATATTGGTGCATTATGACCACAATAGAAATGACACCAACAATTCCAGACCCTCTCAACTCCTAAAAAGTAATTTTCGAGATTCCCACCATCCATATCCCTTATTATATCTGAACACTTGGAAGGTGATCGAATCACTTGATGAAAAAGAAACTAAGCTTACCTGTGAAAAGGCACATGCACGAACAATATGCTTGTGTTCAAAGGAGTGCAATTCATCTCCAGTCAATGCATTCCATATTTTCCTGAAGTGTGTTATAACCACAAAGAAACAAAAAGTCTTAATCCCCGGGAAGTTACTGGTTCCCATTAAACTCGCCGGACCATTTTCTCTGGAAACATATTTTCCTCATGCCTTTAAGCTTTAAGCAGACAAACGATCACATGTGGCTATGAATAAATGATAAACAAAACGGTTGAAACGTAACAAGAGGAACAACATACGCCGTGAAATCTGCAGAAGCTGAGGCAGCACGCATAGCATTTTTGTCAAGGCCACAACTCCAAACGGCTCCCTTGTGTCCTTCAAAAGTCCCTATCCAGTCACCAGTCTCCCCATTCCTCAACATCGGGTTCGAATCTAAATATCAGAAGTCGAAGACGAAACAGTGAAATCAACTCATAATCCTAATTTCCTCAGATCAGCAAGAAGAAAATAAATATGAGGCAGCCCAACATAATTACAGCAACAACGAGTAAAAGAGACATTTGTCAAATGAAAATCTAAGAAATCCTGCTCAAAGCACATCGGTTATGCAATCATAATCCATGAACAATACAGATCATGGATATGCAAATACAAAATCGATCGACCCTGAATCATTCATATCAAAATCAGAGAAATAAGATCATACCTTTGCTGGCGCTAATGAGAAAGAACCCATCTGGAGTCACCGGACTGTATGAAACATCGACGACGGGACGAGAATGCCCGTGGCAGACTAACGGAACACCCATCTCTTTCTTGTCTATTCACTAAGAAACCTGATGAACAAAAATCTAATCGATAAGACGATTTACTCTTTTGGAATCCGCTTGCAAACTCAGGAGAATATCTGAAAAGTATAATAGGATACCCGAAATTTATGAATCCTTTTTTGATTCGCGAGAAGAGGACCAAATTCGAATGGTTTGATCGATGCGTATGTATGACCCGCCAGGGAAATCCCCAGGATCACACCTATAGATCTTTTACAAAATTTGGGAAGAGAGAATTGAGAGAAGAAGAGATAATTAAAGGAAACAACTTTTGTTTGGGTTTGTTTCTATGGCCTTGATGCAGAGAAGAACTCGCGGAGACGACGATGGAATTACGCTCAGAAATCAGAAACATGAAACCTTTCGTAATTTTACGAGAAAACACTTATAATTAATATTATTGATGATAAGGCTCCATAACTTCAAAGTAATTACTTTACCAGTTCGGATTTAACAATAGTTATTCAAATGCACCCATAGAGACAAACTAGGTCACTCGCTTCACAGTTGTACGTGAGAACATACCTTCTACTCTTCTAGTTCTAGAATTTCAAAAGAAATGAATGTTTTAGTATTTTCTTTAGAAACTCCAAAAAAATAATTCCCAGATGAAAGGATGAGTAAGCACTATATTGCACTAAACCCTTTGAGACTATTAGAGAATGTTCATAAATTTATTAGAGTTGTTATAAAGAAAATTTGAGCAATTGCTTGTAAATTTCATTTTTTCAATAAAACTCTATTAACAAAACTTCACGTTCATTCATAGCGAGAGCTAGCACGATTATTAAGAGTGTAAAACCAACCTTAATTTTATTCTTGGTAAAGACATATTATTCAATGATTTTATTTTGTCATTCTAATTAAGATAAGTTATCATATTCTTATTACATTGAAATAAGGGAATGTAAAGAGTAGAAAATCTCGTTATTTAAAATTTAATAACATTCATGATGATTATAATTAATTCAGAAGCTTCATGAGTGAATATGTATGTACATAATTTTATCAACAAATTTTGTTGTTTTTTGTTCGATAAATTTGAATATGCTGTAACTAAAAGAGGAAACTGGAGGAAAATCTACGTTGACTAAAGAGTTCAAAGCAATTAAAGCAGAGAATATAGATATGCATCTGATGTTTTTTAATTGCAAAAAAATAATGTATAGGTAAATAAAGAAGATTAAGGAAACAAAATGAAAGGAAATTCTGTATATTTTTATAAAAAAATTTCATAGATAATAAATGAGTAGGAACTCTATTTATTCATTCGTCACGGTCTCCTCGAAAAAGAACAGAGAGTTAAGGCGTCAAAATCACCGATGTAAAAGCTCATCAATAGATTGCTGACACGTGTCGTAGGTCCAATAAAATACGTGTGTTAGTGGGCCCCCTTTCAATTGCCTTCGGCTATATAATCGCTTATTTAGCACTTGCCAAAGAAGACCGTTGTCTCTAGTTTTTGACCTGTATAAATCTTCCAAAAACCCTATAAATCGTCGAAGCTCTCTCTTCCCTCAGATTCCACGGTGACGCACAGCTTTTAAACTGATTTCGAATTTTTAATTTTATAACTATTATTACTCATATCCGGTTTTGTTCTTGTGAGTTGTGAGATGCGAATCAATTCGAATTGCTAATATCAATGTCAAAATAAATATTTTTTTTCTTTCTTGTTGATTAAAAAGGGTACCTAATTTACGTTGGACAGTAGATATTAATTTATTTAGTTGATTGAAAAGTTGGATTTCTTATTTCAATTGGAGACGAAGAAATCAATACCTTTGCCATAGAAAGAAAATTTCATTACTTTATTGCTTGTTCTGTAATGTGATGTTACTCTAATTGTAATTGGGCACATTGCGTTTTCCCTTCTTTTCACAAAAGGCAAAGAAATTGACATTGGTACTAAGTAACAAAACAAAAGTAATGAAGTTCTTCTTTTATAGTTGGTGGAAAAAGACTGAAGTCATGACAATTTTGAAAAATGATTCTATTAAATGCAAGATCTAAAGAAATTGACATATGTTATACAAAATATATAGCTTCCTTTTTTATGGTCTAGGTCATTAAGGCTAAAAATCTGAACAGAGCGGCGAGTTGTGGAGTCTCTAAGTGATTGTGGAAATGGAGGAAGAAAAAGTGGAGAGCTCGACAATCCTATTTCGAGGTATCGTAGCAGATCTTAGAGGAAGAGCCTTGTGTTACAAGCAAGACTGGGTCACTGGTCTCCGTTCTGGTTTCGGGTACTCTTTAAACCTGATTCTACTCTTAAAGCACTCATATTTAGATTCTTACTTAGAAAAAAAAAAGAGGAACAGAATTGTGAATATTGTTTTTGAGATTTTGCAGGATCTTAGCACCAACAACATACATTTTTTTTGCCTCTGCACTTCCTGTCATCGCCTTTGGCGAGCAACTCAGCCGCGACACAGGTCTATTTCTTTTGAGTTTTATCTCTTAACATTTCTCATTTTTCTTTCTTTTTTTTTTCTCGGTTTGTTGTTCACGTTTATTTGGTGGAACACGAGTCTTTTAGTTGCACACGTTTGGTCTGCTTTTTTTGGGGGTTTTTAAGTTTTGCATTCTCTGATTTCTAGAGAAAACACAATTCAAATATGTTTTTTTTTTAATATAATTGGGAAATTGTAGAGGGAGCGTTGAGCACAGTAGATACATTAGCATCAACAGCGTTATGTGGAGTGATACACTCGATATTGGGAGGACAGCCATTGCTGATACTTGGAGTTGCAGAACCAACTGTCTTAATGTACATTTACTTGTACAACTTCGCTAAAGGAAGACCAGAACTAGGCAAAGAACTCTACTTAGCTTGGACTGCTTGGTAATAATTACTTCAAAAAAAAAAACTTTTCTTTTTATGTTTTTTAATTTCTATAAAGTTATGGGTTTTTTTTTGCTGAAGGGTTTGTGTGTGGACGGCTTTGTTACTGTTCCTAATGGCGATCCTCAACGCGGCTGATATCATTAACCGGTTTACGAGGGTCGCTGGTGAGCTGTTTGGTATGTTGATCTCCGTTCTGTTCATCCAACAAGCCATTAAGGTATAAATGTACCAAAAAGCTCAACAACCTTTGAATTGTGATGACAAGTCAAAGCTTTATATACATATGTTTTCATATGAAACTGGCAGGGAATGGTGAGTGAATTCGGTATGCCGAAAGAAGGAGACTCAAAGCTTGAAAAGTATCAGTTTCAGTGGCTCTACACAAACGGACTTCTCGGGCTCATTTTCACCTTTGGCCTTCTCTACACCGCTTTGAAGAGCAGAAAAGCCAGGTCTTGGCGATACGGAACAGGTAAGAGGGATTGATCTTGTCATAGTTTGGTGGACTTTTATGTGTAAAATCAAATCAGGCCTTACAAAACTCTGATTTTCTTTGAAAAAAGGATGGTACAGGAGCTTCATCGCAGACTATGGAGTTCCTTTGATGGTTTTGGTTTGGACAGCATTGTCTTTCAGTACGCCATCAAAGCTCCCCTCTGGTGTCCCGAGAAGACTCTTTAGTCCTCTTCCATGGGAACCTGCTTCTTTAGAACATTGGACTGTCATCAAGGTTACAACACAAAAAATACTTGACTTAAGATCTTGATTTGACAATTTGAACCTCTTTTAAGACCTGGCTTTGGTCTGTACAGGACATGTGGAAAGTCTCTCCGGGATACATTTTCGCGGCATTTATACCCGCAGTGATGATTGCAGGGCTCTACTTCTTTGATCATAGCGTTGCATCGCAGCTTGCGCAGCAGAAGGAGTTTAACCTCAAGAACCCTTCTGCATATCACTATGACATTCTTTTGTTGGGAATCATGGTATAATCAATCAAACTCTCTTTCTTTCTCTGCAGGCTCAGCTGTTACAACATTGAATCTCTGGTTAAAAATCTCCAAAATGGTGTGCTTTTTTTTTTCAGACGTTGATCTGTGGATTGCTCGGTCTGCCTCCTTCCAATGGAGTCCTCCCTCAGTCTCCAATGCATACCAAAAGCCTCGCTGTCCTCAAACGACAGGTTTAGTTGATACTCATTTAACCAACACTCAATATTCAGACTAAGTTGGTCTTCATAAACCCCTTTTTTATTTGGGTTGGTTTCTTCTGTTCAGTTGATTCGGAGGAAGATGGTGAAGACAGCCAAAGAAAGCATCAGGAAGAGAGCAACTTCCTCCGAAGTGTATGAGAATATGCAAGAAGTCTTCATAGAAATGGACAAAAGCCCACTTGTAAGTAGTTGTAGACTCATTATTCAACTTGTTTGCACAAAAAGACAAAAAAAAATCAGATATATTAAGTCTTGTTTACGTACAGGCTCCAACAAACAGAACAGTGATAATTGAGCTGCAAGATCTGAAAGAAGCAGTGATGAAGAGCAATAAGGACGAAGGAGAGAGAAACGAGGAAAGTGGTTTCGATCCGGAGAAGCACCTTGACGCTTACTTGCCTGTTCGAGTCAACGAGCAGAGAGTAAGCAACCTATTGCAGTCGTTGCTAGTGGCAGGTGCAGTGTTGGCTATGCCGGCCATTAAGCTCATACCAACTTCACTTCTGTGGGGTTATTTCGCTTACATGGCAATCGATAGCCTCCCGGGAAACCAATTCTTTGAACGCACTATGCTTCTCTTCGTCCTACCAAGCCGGAGATTCAAGTACGTGCTCTGAAAAAAATGCTCTGGTTTTTCGGATTATTTCTTTTAAAAGACTGATCATGTGATTTTTGTTGTTGGTTAAGGGTCTTGGAGGGAGCGCATGCGTCGTTCGTGGAGAAAGTTCCGTACAAGTCAGTGGCTGCGTTCACACTGCTGCAGATATTCTACTTTGGGATGTGTTACGGAGTGACGTGGATTCCGGTGGCCGGAATAATGTTTCCGGTTCCTTTCTTCCTCTTGATAGCCATTAGACAGTACATTCTCCCAAAGCTCTTTAACCCGGCCCATCTCCGAGAGCTCGATGCGGCCGAGTACGAGGAAATCCCCGGCACTCTTAGAAACCCGCTCGAGCTGTCTTTCCGGGTGAGTCCATAATGTTTTTAATGTTTTTTTTTTTGATAACCGGACTAATCTCTAGATTAGATGAAGAGACGAATATTTTAGTCATTTAAGACGTCTACAATAACCTTTATAATAAAAATTCGAATTAATGCACCTTGTTTCAGTCGACTAACTCGAAGAGTGGCGTCCAAGAGAACGATGCGGAGATTTTAGACGAGTTAACGACGAGCAGAGGCGAGCTTAAAGTCCGTACCCTCAGTCTTAACGAAGACAAAGGCAACCAGGTTTAGCTTTTTCTTTTCTTTTGTTATAGAGATCATCTTTTGAGTTGAATCTTAACTTTGTAAACAGATTTTTTCACACTCATATTTCGTTTTTAAAAAAGCTGCAGATTTATCCCTAGGAAATCGGAGAAGCAGGGGATGGGGATGTGAGTGATCTGTCAACAACATGACCTAAAAATCATGATCATGATGATCTCACATAGTATTGTAGATCAAAACACAGATGAGATTACCTGTGAATTTTTTTTTTATATATAATTTTAATTAAAGATGATGTGGTGTAACTGGTGTTTGTCAAGATATTCTTCTTAGCAAGTTAAGAAATTAAGTATTAATACAGAGAGTGTTACGGATATTTACACCATTTACCATTTCTTTTTATTCTCTTATAGAAATTCTATAAAACACTGATGAGTGTTCTACGCTAATTTGATACGAGATAAAAAGTCGTAACTAAGTTATCAAAATTATACGTAACTCTACAGGAAAAGTAAATAGTTTCAAATTCACTTTATCTGTATTATATACGTAACTTGATTAAATTTGTGTGTTTCCGAAAAAATATAGCTTGTGTAGTTATTAGTTAGTGGATTTAAAATTTTGTTTGGCTATCTAATCACCAAGGATCCGTGGCGCAATGGTAGCGCGTCTGACTCCAGATCAGAAGGTTGCGTGTTCGATTCACGTCGGGTTCAATCCCCCGAATCTTGGTCCTTAAATTTTTGTTTTTAACCTTTTTAGCCCCTCAAAACTTCAAAATTCCAAATTGCCCATACTTTTCCCCCTATTCAATTTCCATGCTTTTAATTTTTGTATACAAGCCCATGGACCTGCAGATTGCGCGGGTTGTCTATGAAATTAAGTCAAACAAACTGTCGACGGTATTTGATAATTAAAGTTTTTATTGGGTAGCAACAATTAAAATTATTTAAAATCAGAAAAATAGAGAGGGGTTCTAGGTCCGAGATTGAAACCAATCCTTAAACCCTAACGCCGTAATCTTCGTCTCCGGCTTCACATTTCTCTCCAGACATTGTTGGGACCCGAACGCCATGAACTACCGCTTCCAGAACCTTCTTGGCGCCCCCTACAGAGGCGGGAACGTCGTCATCACGAAGAACACTCAGCTTATTTCACCCGTCGGCAATCGTGTCTCCGTCACGGACCTCCACAAGCACCAGGCGGTTACTCTTCCGATCTATACCTCTTCCAATATTTGTCGTCTTGCTGCCTCTCCCGACGGGACTTTCCTAATTGTTGTCGATGAAAATAAGCGATGCCTCTTCATCAACGTTCCCCAAAGGGTCATTCTTCACAGAATGAGCTTCAAGGAAAGAGTCGGCGCCTTGAAGTTCAGCCCTAATGGCAAGTACTTCGCTGTCGGGATAGGTAAGTTGGTCGAGATATGGCAATCACCTGGTTTCAGTCGAGCGGTTTTCGCCTTTGAGCGTATTAGGACTTTTGCTAATTCTGATGATAAAGTTGTCTCCTTGGAGTGGAGCTTGGACTCTGATTATTTGCTTGTTGGGTCAAAGGATTTAGCAGCTAGGCTGTTTTGCGTCAGAAAGTTGAAGGGTGTCTTAAATAAACCTTTTTTGTTGCTGGGTCACAGAGATTCTGTTGTGGGTTGCTTCTTTGGTGTTGATAAATTGACTAACAAGGTCAACAGAGCTTTCACCATTGCACGGGATGGTTACATATTTAGTTGGGGCTATAGCGGAAAGGATATCAATTTGGATGAAGCCGAAGATGACCACTCTGAGCCACCCTCTCCTGATACTCCAGAGAGGGCTGATGAGGTAATGGTGGAAAATGGTGTTGGTATTGGCACTGATATTAAAAAACGAAAAAAGTATGACGGTAGAGGTCGTGAGTCAGAAGATGATGATGATGAAGAGTATATGCATAGAGGGAAATGGGTTTTGTTGAGGAAGGATGGTTTTAATCAGGGATCAGCTAAAGTGACAGCTTGTGACTATCACCAGGGGCTCGACATGGTTGTGGTTGGGTTCTCAAATGGTGTTTTCGGGCTTTATCAGATGCCAGATTTCATCTGTATTCATCTGCTGTCTGTTTCTAGGGAGAAGCTAACAACTGCTGTCTTTAACGAGCGTGGTAATTGGCTGACCTTTGGCTGCGCGAAACTTGGGCAACTGTTAGTCTGGGAGTGGCGATCTGAAAGCTATATACTGAAGCAACAAGGACACTATTTTGATGTGAACTGTGTCACTTACTCACCTGATTCACAATTCTTGGCAACTGGTGCTGATGATAACAAAGTCAAGGTATTAAAATTTCAAATACTTAACTATTTTGTTCTATGCCATGCTTATCATCTAAATCTGAAGTTAACCAGCCCCTGTTTTTTAATGTTACATTTTACAGGTGTGGAACCTTACATCAGGATCATGTTTCATCACCTTTACAGAGCACACCAATGCAGTCACTGCTCTTCATTTTATGGCTGATAACCACTCCCTCTTAAGCGCTTCTCTTGACGGCACTGTTCGTGCTTGGGATTTTCGAAGATACAAGAACTACAAAACATATACAACCCCTACACCCCGGCAGTTTGTTTCCTTAACAGCAGACCCAAGTGGTGACGTCGTCTGTGCTGGGACCCTAGATTCATTCGAGGTAATACAACTTATGGCTTTACTGATTTCACTCACGTACTCACAGATACAGACTCGCAGGTTCGTAGGGTGAGGTGATTCACTTTTCTACTTGCCTATCTACAGATTTTTGTATGGTCCAAGAAGACTGGGCAAATAAAGGATATTCTGAATGGGCATGAGGCTCCCGTTCATGGGTTAATGTTTTCTCCCTTGACGGTAAGTAAACTGTAGTAGTCTCTTATGTCGTTTGGTCTAAATATATTTTGTTTCTTGACTCAAAACAAATATGTAAAAGCTAGCTAATGACGTAGTAATTTTTTGGAGTAATGTATACTTCTTGCTTATGGTGTTATAACTCCCATGCCTTATCTAGATACATATTTCTTTCTTTGCAGCAAAATTTAGCTTCATCATCATGGGACAATACGGTTCGGTTGTGGGATGTGTTTGCTAGCAAGGGCACAGTGGAGACGTTTCAACACAACCACGATGTTCTAACAGTTACTTTCCGTCCTGATGGGAAGCAGCTAGCCTCGAGTACGCTAGATGGGCAGATCCATTTCTGGGACACCATTGATGGTGTGTTGATGTACACCATAGAGGGGCGGAGAGATATCGCTGGAGGTCGCAACATGACTGACCGTCGGTCTGCGGCTAATTCAACTTCTGGAAAGTGCTTTACAACATTGTGCTATTCCGCTGATGGAGGTTATCTTCTAGCCGCAGGAAATAGCAGATATATTTGCATGTATGACATCTCAGATCAGGTTAGCTCATTAGCTCTTTTTTTTTGGAATTCAGCTTTTCTTGGCCTCAAAAGTTTGATGCTGATTTGAAAGCTCGTGTTTTGCTTATCAAAGAAACTTACTCAAAAGGTCTGAAATATTTACCTTTTTCAGGTTCTGTTGCGCCGGTTTCAAATATCCCGTAATCTCTCATTAGATGGGGCTCTTGACTTACTGAACTCCAAGAAGATGACGGAAGCAGGACCAATGGATCTGATTGATGATGATAACAGCGATGAAGAAGATGGCATTGATAAACAGTCTCGGGGGAATTTGGGTTATGATCTGCCTGGATCCAGGCCTAACCGCGGCAGGCCCGTTATCCGGACAAAAAGCCTCAGCATTGCCCCAACTGGGAGGAGCTTTGCAGCTGCAACAACGGAAGGAGTTCTTTTCTTTTCAATTGACGAATCCTTCATCTTTGATCCAACCGATCTTGACATAGACGTGACACCAGAGGTGAGCCTTTTGTAAATCGATTCAATGTGTCAGGTTTCTTGTCTGATTATCACCTTTATAAGCGGGTGATGTTTATAGTTCTGATTATTGGTTCTGAAAAAGCAAAGGTAATGTGTTGTTTGCGTAGGCGGTTGAGGATGCCATAGAGGATGATAAAGTGAGCAGAGCACTTGCTCTGAGTATGCGTTTGAACGAAGACAGCCTCATAAAAAAATGCATCTTTGCTGTAACCCCTGCAGACATAAAAGCTGTTGCAATCTCTGTCCCCCAGAAATACTTAGAAAGGCTTATGGAAGCTTTGGTGGATCTGCTTGAGAACTGTCCTCATCTGGAGTTCTTACTTCGCTGGTGTCAGGTATGCTCTTTCTTTCCTATTCTCCGTTAATCTCTTACCTAACTGCTCTTAGCTGATCGAACTTTGTATTTATGTTCAGGAAATCTGCAAGGCACACGCAAGCTCCATTCAGCGAAACTACAGAAATCTACTGCCAGCACTGAGATCGCTGCAGAAGGCAATCACCAGAGCCCACCAGGATCTGGCAGATATGTGTTCTTCCAACGAGTACACACTTCGCTACTTGTGTTCTGTTCCAAACAATCATTAGTTCTGTTTTCTTTTTCTTATGGGAAACTCTGAAATTTTGATCTTCCTTTGCGGGCAAATATTTATGATATATGACTAATGAGTTTTGAATTCAAAAACAAAATGGAGCTTAGAATGTGAATGTCTTTTCTACCATGGGAAATAAGCTCGGAGCTATGGTAACTTTATGAAGAAAATTAAATGTTTAACAACCATAAAAAATAAGAAGAATGTGAATTTTTGATTAAATTTTGAATATGCGAAGATGAGCTCGCAGCTATGGATACTTTGACTAACAGACACTTAAAATACAACAAAATTTAGATTATGCCTAGGACCAGAGCTGATGTCGCTATAAAACCTAAACACTGAAGTACATTATGGATAAAGAATCAAGGGAGACATCAAAACTTTGATCAAAGTCACAAGACATAGCACTTGAATCTTCACGGAGTCCATCTAGGATACATGGGCGCATGGAACTCCAATCGGGGCATGTTCGCTGGATAATTGGCAGCACTTGCTTGGCTCCTTGAACCAAGAAAGAGATCGTGCATGAAAGCATCAAAGTTGAGATCGATCATGGGATGTTGGTATGGAAGCTGATGGAGAGAGTTGGCCAACAATCTCTGTTCTGCTTCCCATCTCTGACGAGCATTGAGCATTTCAATGTACTCGGCTTCTCTTTCCAATTGCTCCCACATGTGTTGCTCCCAAAGTTCCAACTTTGGCGATATAAAACCCGGATGCACAGCTTTCAAGTGGGTTTTAAGCTGAGAATAGGTCCCCGAGAAGTCACACTTGTCCATAGAACAGCACCTGGGCCTAGCATTCATGAATCTCCGTGCGCAAGTAGACTTCATTGTCCCGTAAACCTCTCCTCTGCAGTAGGGACAGTTTAGAGTCTTGCCACTGCAGCGACTTGTGTTCTTGTTGTTGTTTCTGCGGAACTGCTTGAAGCAGTTGGAGTGACGGGCGCTTGTGTCACACATGTAAGCACGACATCCTTTGGAGAAGGAAGCACATTGCAAGAGGACAGCATTGTGTGGCGGCTCCATGCAGATCACACACCTCACATCCTCCCATTCACTCACACTCTCTGACTCGACAGGTGACTCCACTTCTTTTTGTTTCTTGCTCCTACAAGAGCGAAGCGGGTAAGGCGATACCCTACTCCTGTTGCTTGAAACCGGCAAAATCCGTCTTTCCTTCAGCATCTCACACACACTGAAAGCAACACAAAAGAGTTATCTTCCGAACAAACACATAAACAGATATCATAGAGAGTCAGTTCTCTAAAACACGACATCAAAGACAGAGACACAAATAATCTTATATTAGATTTGAAACAGGACAAGGTCAAGGACACAGAACTTAGTCCTAGTGAATGTTACATTTCCGACAAATGATAGCAGAACATGATGATTTCAACTCAAAATATTCGTATTTATCGGTCAATTAAATTGAAACTATTCACTTATCAAAAACAGTTGTAGACTTGTCCAAAAATCCTTTAATCAACGGTTAAACATTCGAATCAGCCATAGATTTCAGAGCAGGAAACAGATCAATTAGATTTCAATTTAACGAGTCGATGAGATTCTTGGCCCAGGAAAGAAAATACAAAACAAAAACCAAACGCGAAATTGATGCCCAGAAAATTCTGATCACATCCACAGACCGCTAAACGACACAACGTCATCGGATCGAGAGATTAGGCAACGAGTAATCGCCCAAAGAAAACGAATGAAACGGAAGAACAAATAATAATAATAATATAAAAAAAAGGATTTTACCTGGCCGGAGAAATGAAAGAGGCTTTGAGAGAGAAAAGTAGAGAGAGAGCCTCGTAAAGAGAGTTTCGTATGAAACGGTGAAATGAAGAAGAAAAATAAAAATGGATGCGCGTGCGTGAATGTGAGGTTGCCGGTGGGGTTTTTATAGGCGTCGAGACGTCTTTTCAGTTTTTTTTTCAAACATGACGAAACTGCCCTTCCCTCCTCGTTGTAAGTCCACCCTCTCTCTCTACTTTCCTTTGCCAATTTAACCACATTTGTCTTTTTGACTTTCTTTGCCGTTGCTTTTCCTTTTAAACGGCTTATAAAGTTTTTGTGTTTTTGCTAACATTTCAATACGTGTCGTACCAAAAACACACATCATCCACACACATGATAAGCTGTTATGGTATTTCTTTTTTCCATTCAAATCTATTAGAAATAAATCATTAATTTCAATTTATAGAGATATCCAAGATATAATTGTTGGTTTATAATTAGTCAAAACTATTATAAAATCAAGTCATATTTTTGTTTCTATATATTTTAAAAATAAAATCAAACATAATATGTAGTTATCTACAATCTACTACATGTCATATCAGTCTTACATCTGTTGGGATCTGTATAGATGTTGATTTTAGTTATCCTATTCGAGCCAGATTACAATACAGACTCTACAGGTAGCTTTATATGTCTATGTATTTGTGTTTTGATATTGATATTTTTAAAAATAGATAAGAACAAATCATAACGTTAACTTTTTTGCTTTAGCAAAAAAAAAAAAATTCTTTCTTATTTCCAAAATATGTATCTTTATTCTCTGTATCTTTTTCAAAAATATTATCTTTCTTATTAAGTGGGGGTGAAAGGAAGAAAATATATATATATTCAAAAATAGCTGTCTGTATATACATATTGTCTTTTTGTCCTTTTGACGTATGTATATACATATTATCTATCAAATTTGAAGGTGTAAGATTACATAACATACGTGCAAATAGAAATGCACATACCACAATCCAAAATCCATCAGTTGCCACTAATATGCAGGTCAAATGGATTAGCCCATGTGACAGGCTTCCAACTACTAATAGAAAAAGCTTATCCAAACTAATTATTGAGAAAATGTGAAATACCGTTTTTCTTGTTATAAAATTAAGCAGAAAAAAAATGATTATACAAAAATACATTGGAACAGATTACATAAAAAGTAAACTCAGCCCAACTACTGACTTAGGTCGGCCCAATAGAGTAAAAGCACTTCAACCCACCCAATCTGACCCGACCCGACCCGTAGGTTTTAACTGTAAAGTTGTTGAGACTAGAACCCTAAACCCGCGTCGGCTCTCTCTCTCTTTCCGCTTCTTTCGTACATCGCCGACCATGGCCAAGGAGAAACTGAAGCCTCTACCCACCACCTCTGATGGAGGTTCGCTTCATTCTCTCCTCTCTCGTCAATTTTGCTGCTCGTAGCTCTGTCACATGGTGAAACCCCCTTCTCTTGTTTTTTTTTTATGAATTCAACAGGTGAAATCGCCGACACTCCTTCCCGAGAGAAGAAGCATAAGAAGAAGAACAGGAAGCGAGCTGAACCTGATCCCGATTTACCCGCAGCGAGAGAGTCCGGTAAGAGATTATCTAATACTTGATACCCAGTTGCTAAAAATTCACATTTTCTGCAAGGCTAGATTGTTGAGGATAAAGCTATTGAGTGACTCCAGCTAGAGATTGCATGGCTTGAATCTTAATATTAGGGTTCCTATTTCTTGATATATAGGTCTTGATGAAGATACAGATGGAGTGCTGGTAGATGATGCTCATAACGAGCCGACCATGGGTGATAAATTTGAGAGTCTTAAATTAGGCGGAGAAAAACTTAGCACTGAGGAGAGTAATAGAGCTTCTGCTCCGATCGATCATAAGCCTCCTACCGCAGCCTCTGTTAACGTTCTTCTGAGACAAGCATTGCATGCTGATGACCGGTCTCTTCTACTGGATTGCTTGTACAACCGAGATGAACAGGTTCGGAAGATCTTTTCTTTACCTTTTTGGTTGTTTGTTTCGTTCTTGGTTTCTTGTTAATTCTTCCAGTTTTATATGCTTTACAGGTAATTGCTAATTCGGTTGCTAAGTTGAATTCAGCAGACGTACTCAAGCTTCTAAATTCCCTTCTACCGATACTACAATCAAGGTGAGAGCTGGAGATATAGTAATCTGTTTTATGTGTTTGTTGGAGCTGATTTTCAAGTGGTGATTTTTTTTTTTTTTTTTTTTTTTTTTTTACTTTCTTGCTTTGCAGGGGTGCAATTTTAGCTTGTACCATTCCTTGGATAAAGAGTCTGTTACTTACTCATTCCAGTGGGATTATGTCCCAAGAGTCATCGCTGCTCGCATTAAACTCCATATATCAGGTTAGGAACTGCCCGAGTTTATTGTCACATCGCGCGTGGCTCGGTTAGAAACACAGAACAGAGAGTCTGGAATAGATGAATCATTGATATGCGTTTTATTGTTTGTGTGTGCAGCTCATTGAATCACGGGTATCAACTATTCATACGGCCGTTGAAGTTTCAAGCGGCTTAGACTTGGTATGTATTACATTGCCCTAAAACGAGGAAGAATTTTGATTTCAGCCTGTAGCCTAGGGGTAACATTAGTTTGGTTTTTGATTCCATGGATCGCTTTGGGAAATAAATAACGCAATGGAAGTCTTGGGGTCACTTTAGCATAGAATATAGTGACATTTAGACTGTATAGTATGTTACTGATTCGTGTTAATGATAGATTGTGGACGACTTGGATGATGAAGAAGAAGATGGAGGTCCTGTGATCTATGAAGATAAGGACAGTGATGAAGAAGGAGGAGAAGGATCAGAGGAAGGAATGGAGACGGATGACGAGGCAGACGAATCGGCGGATGAAGCAGCTGATGGTGTCAATGATTTTGAAGGTTTTGACGACATGAGCGATTGAGGAGGACTCCTGAAAATGGGAAAAGTTTTGATTTGTGTCAGGCTGGTTGATTGTTAGATGTTAAGAGTGGGGTTAAAAGGTACAATCTCACGTCTAGATGTCTCGGCACGAACTCTGTAATACGTAGTGGTTATATCGATATTGACGAGACTTTGTATTGAGAACGAGTTTATTATGTATTCTGAAATGAAGAAAAACAAAATTGACGAGAATAGGAAAAACGTATTGCAAAAATGGAAAGAGCAAGGTTTTGGGGAGAGGGTTGAATAAGTCAAGCCTGGTTTAGAAAATGATGGATCATAGAAGCGACAAGCTCTCCTTGGAAAATGGAACACCATCGAATACAGAGGAGAAAATGTTTTATAAAGACATGATCTTATTATATAAAAGAAGGAAATTGTTTAAGAAGAAAGGAGAATAAGTAAGAAATGGCGAGCGGACAGAATGAGGATTTCAGTGTGAAGGCCGGCCAAATCGTGGGCCAAGCTCAAGTCAGTGGTCTTGTTCAATTTCTCCACCACTTGTGACTTTTTAGCAATCGTATTGATTTCTATGCTAATTACAAAGTAAAAAAAATATATATATATAGTAAAAGTAAGAGGTGTAAAGTGGAGAAATCTGATGTCTGAAACAGGTGAAGAGAGAAGATTGCAAAGTGGACAACACCAACTCTTCTCAAGCATCAGGCTTTTTCCAGCAGGTTAACTAACACATCAACTCTACATGTTGTTTGTGTTGTATCTTTGGTTTTTTTTTGTGTGTAAGAAATAAGAATGATGATATTTCAGAAAGGGGAGAAAGTGAAGAGCATGGCGCAAGGAGCATCAGAGGCAGTGAAGAACACAATGGGGATGAGCAATGACAACAGCAACGAATATAAGAAAAAGAACCCTTTGGACAGGAAGAACCCTAACAACACAACCTGTCCAAGCATGCCTGGTCATCCTCCTTCCGATATTTAACCATTTCCACAAATATCATCCTCGTGTCTTTAATCCTTTTTAATTCCAATAAAAATTGTCTATAATAATAAGGGATATTACACAATGCAATCCAAGCCAACATATGTTCAAACTTATTTGGCTTTTAGACATGTTCACACTTGTGTTGGCCAAAAACTAATAACAAGACATGTTTGAGTGACTTTGGTTTTAGTTTTGGAAATGATCTTTACATCACAAACACCGGTTTACACTTTGGTAATTCTTCCCCAGGCGAGCTACTTTTCTTTTTAGATACTTTATACACACTCACAAAATCCAGCTATGGATTCACAAACTCCAACTACGGATTCTCTTTAGAGATAAGATCATCGACTCTCTGCCCATTTGATGGCAGACCTTGCAAGTGCATCCATAGGATCAACGCACTTCTTCAACAGAGGATCATCCCCTGGCAAGAGTTCTCGCATCTCATCTGAACCGAGCACCACCACATTCACCGCCTGCACCAGCAGCACCTGCAATGCTATCCTCAGAAGGTTCCGTGCTCCTTCCATGTCTTGTCTCTTTATCGCTTCTATGGCCGGGATCACCGTGTGCTCCATTGTCGCCTTGTCTGGAAGCACCGCTTCAAATCCCTGTTTACAAACAAGTATCAGACTCGCTTAGACAAAAATGATAACAATTATGTTGTTCCAATGGACACAATAGAATACTGACATTGCTCTGTAGTCTCTCTTGGTAGAATCCTGAGGATAACGTGGCACTAGAGGCCATCACACCTACGCGCAGAGGATTCCCAGCTTCAAGAGGCTTCATTTTCGCCTCTCCCAGCTCTTTAGCAATGCATTCACCCATGTGAAGCAATGGAACCGAGCTTCCTTCACAAACCTCCTCATACCATGTATGTGCAATATGACAAGGCATTAGGATTAACTTAGCTCCACATCTCTCGAGAGTTCTTCTCTTGTTCCTTAGATTTTCCACAATCTGTTTCGGATCCACCGGAGTACACTCTGCTCTATGGTAGAGAGAAGGATAAGAGTTCTCCTCGTATGAGAGAAGCTCCTTGTTGAGTGCAGGATCAGAGCAAAGCACGAAGGGTAAGGAGCTTTTACCATCTTGTGAGCTCCAATCAACGAGTTTCTTCACAAAATTCAGTGTGGAACCTGTTGAAACACCTCCGATAATCCCCACCGTGTTGGCCTGCCTGACCAAAGAATCTTCAGAGAGACTTTTTAAACTGTTTCTCGAATCTTCACTCAGACAAAAGCCCTTCTTGGACTTGGGAAGATCGCTGCTTTCGTCCATCTGCAGTAGGACTGATGACGGTGGCGTGGCTAGAACACGACTTAGTCTTACCCTACACGAAATCCGATTGGAACAGCATACATGAGCTAAACCATGAGATGGGTTTGTGAAAGTCTGAAGATACATCACCAAGCTTCTGTCTAAAAAATGTTTTTGATAGTAGTTACTAACTCCAGATACACCTCTGACAGAACTAGCCAAAGTTTCCAACTTGTTCCTTCCCTACAAACCTGAATCTGACCTCACATTCAAGTTCCAAATCCAGCTCAGATTCAAAAAAAGGAAAAAGAAGAAAGGAAGCAACTTTATGTTACAAGACTCGCAGGTAGTCTGAGGGAAGAACCTCTGTCTAGCTTTTTGGAGTAAGATCCTAGAATCTGTAACATCAACTTACTTTCTGCACTTGCCAGCTGAATCAGTACTTCTCCTCAATAATACAGAAGTTATACACAAGATTCTCTTGGAAAACAAATCTTTGTAATTCGTTGGGCAGGATGATGGATTGCCTTTCTGTTTTCAGAAAGGCAGAAACAAAAAGGAAAAGTAGTAGAGGAACAGGTGGGGCATCAGAACAACGGCCTCAAATCAACCCAATGCTTTTTCATCTCTATCAAACAAAACCATCAGATGAAACCGGACCAGTAGTAGTCGCATCAAGTTGAAGTGAGGAATCTTTGCCTCTCAGATTTCCACTTGGAATATATAATTTTGTTATTGGATTTCACCATCAGGCAGTAAAGAAGAAGAGAGGGGAAAACTTTCTCAACGTAAGGCGATAAAATCAAGAAGAGGTGTGTCTGTCTCTGTCTGGTTTCTTTTTCCATTTCTTGTGATATTTTTATATATATTTCCTGCAACTTGTGGGTTGTCTCTGTTAGGTGGATTCTTTCGTCTTCTTGTCAGCTACTGAATCCCACATGGTCCATCAGCCATCTAAGGGTCCAGTCGAATTTTATAATTCCTCAATCAATGGAATTCTCCAGAGACTTGTGTTTTGTAAGAGATGTGCAGCAGGGAATGATCTGATGATGGACAGAAACAGCTTAGGGTAGATACGAATGGAGTTTCTTTGCTCACTTGTACAAAACATGACCTGATAAAAGCCGGAGAAAGCTAAAAACGAATTGTTACTCTTTCAACACAAGCTAAAAGACAATGATGTGCAGCAGCCAGCAGGTAATGATCTGACGATGGACAGACAATGCAGAAACAGCCAAAGGTAGATATGAATGGAGTTTCTTTGCTCATTTGTACAAACCAATGAGCTGATTTCATAGAAGTCTTCCAAAACGTAACAGCCTGAGAAAAGCTCCCACTAACACATAAACAACTACCAGCAAAAATTTCACATTTAATCCCCCCCCCCCACCCCAGAAAACCACACACACAAAGAGAGCAGCAAGAACAGGTCAATAGGATCCAAGCTTCATGTGAAAATAAAAAGTGAAACACATACAATTTTGATGTTAAAGGCGATCTTGGTAGCATCTAATTACTCAACAAACAATGTCAGGCAAACCCATCTCACTCGCTCTTTTCATTGCATCACATTTCTTCTTCTCCCCCTCCACCTGCGTCAACACCAAACTCAACTCCCTCCTCACAGCTGCGTTTTCCTGCCGTTGCGTTTGCTGCGCAATGCACGCATTGTTTCTGTAGCGGTCCAATACAGAGTAGACGTTTCGAGGACCGAACGAGAAAGGCTTCTTGGCGGGAGAGGAGACGATGATTGCAACCTCCACACCGCACAAAGAGACCGGTTCTGCGTTTCGAGAACGTTATACTTGTCTGTGGCTCTTCCTTTCTTCTTCCAAGTCATTTGCTTCTCGATACATTTCGGTGGAAGGATTGTTTCTTCATCCCTTTAATATATACAGATGCTTTGAGTCTTGAATGTGGTGTGTCAATATCAGTCTTGCATTTGTAACACCCATTTGTCATTACTCAGTTTCTATTTAATTTTGTTGACAGATATTGAATTCACAATATTTTGTGTGAGTTATCAAAATCTAATATATTAATATTGTGGTGATTAAGGAGAGATTTAGCCATATATAATGACAGTTGTCGACCGTTTCCCTAGCTGAATGTTTCTTTGAGAAAACCGATTTGCTAATCCCATTCACATGTCCACATGTACATGCTTTAAACTTCAAATTAGTGTAATCATGAGGAAAACAGAAGATACATAAGATAAGAGGGTTAATTATTTGCTTGAATAATACTATATGTTATACGATGAAGTTGACTTATTTACAAATTGGCACACAGAGTTACTTTGACCCACTTTCACCTCTTCATTATATTTTCTTCCTTTCAAATTAAAACGAGAGATTTGGCATCTTATCTTTCACTCACTCTCCTAATATATTTGGTTACCCAAACGAGAAGAAGATTTCATTTTAAATTTAATCATGTCCTAAAAGTCAATTCTCATGTTCGTTTCTAACCTGTTATCTAATCCACGCCATTTGTTTATTAAAAAAGCCTACGCCATTTGAGCTTTTAAAGAAACAAAACAAATATAAGATTGTCCATTTATATACGCTAATTAAATTAAGTTTGATTTTTAATATTTTAGTAGGTAATGTTAATGTTTTATAAAGTTGATTTTGAGATGAGTAAAAATGAATTTTAACTATCCCCTATATTATCCTAGTTTCACTGAAGGTATTATTTCTGCAAATACTTTAATTCTGATCCTAGCTAGTTGTTACAAAAATGAATTCAAATTGGAAACATCATGATCGTAATAATATAACAGTAATGATAGTGGACCGACACGCATTTAAACAGTGAGGACAGAAACAAAAGGAAGAAAGTCTGGAACACAATGATTAATCAATCACTTATAAAAGCATAATCACTTTTTTTTGGTAAAGTCTTTTAGCTGAAAAGAAACGAAGAAAACAAGAGCCAGAGAGAGAGAGAGAAAAGAGAGAGAGATCCATGGAGGGTCTTCAAAGATCAACCACCTCCTTCCGCCGTCAGGGATCTTCCGGTATAGTCTGGGACGATCGTCTCATCGCCGAGCTCAATAAACAGGCCAACGAGCAGAAAGACGAAAGTCAACGCGACGAGCAGCCTAAGCCGATGTCGGAAAGCTCGGAGCAAGGAAAACCGATCGCCGGCGATGAGAAAGACAAACTCAGACCAATCAAAACCGGTTTACCAGAACCGGGAGGAATCGAGAGGAGTCGATCTAATGGCGGAGGAGCACCACGGCATCACCGAGCAACCGGAAGAGTGTCTCCGGCGGTGGACCCGCCGTCTCCGAGAGTCTCGACTTGCGGTTGCTGCTCTGCGTTTGGGAAGAAACCGCCGGGGAAGAAGAATAATCCGAGGAAGAGGCCACCGAAGCGCAGATCGAGGTAGGCGGCGCAGGATAAGATTGAAGAGAAGAAAATAGTGTATACTGTCTTTGATCTTTCTTTTTTTTTTGTTTTGTTCCTTCTGTGTGCTCAAGCTACAAACTTTAATCTCATTTTCTATTTTCTCTCGTTAAGCTTATAGATCGCAATACTTTGGATTTTCTGGGTGTTTGTAAATTAGCTGTCTTTTTTTTTTCATCGGACAAATTCCATTTCTGTACAATTCAAAACGACTTTCCGATTTTGGGGATCCACAAAACATTCTTCTTTCTCGGGGAGAGATTATCGATCTCCTTAGTAAAATTCAATATTTTTAAGAGAAATCAATGCACTTCTAATTTCTTCCGATGACTCTTCGAATCTTCAAGGGTTTCGAACCGGGCAGCCGCCGGAAGAGACGTCGGCGGATCGTAAGCAAGAAAGACGTTTAATATTGCTTTTGACTGCGTTGATTGGAAAACGGACGGCTGTGATTAGATCTTTTACTTTTAATTAATGTTAATGTTGAGCTCTAATTATATTTGTTTACTTGATCCCGCCAAGGATGAGGGGCCAATTCACCGCCGCATTTCACGGCTTCGCCACCGTGTCTTGTCCCGATCGAGCAAGACATAACCTTTCCGGTTTCTCTCCTTTTAAAAAATAAAACATCTGAAGAATAGCTGTCTTAAATTGTAGGAATTCTGTCTTAAATTATTTCTTCAATACATTACAAAAAAACACTCTTTCCGTCGAAGTTTTGATCTCTAAAAGATATATGGGTTTGCGTCTTTGAAGATTCTGTCATTGAGGCCCGAGCTTAGGACAGCCTTCTGCAAGAGGCAAGTCCAAGTTGTCGACTGTCCTAAAAGTGCGTGGTACCATCTTATCAACATAAAGATTACCATCCAAATGATCGCACTCATGTTGCAGAATCCTTGCTTGCCAACCTGAAGCATTCACTTCAATCCGCTTTCCTTGACGATCGTAGCCTGTCACGACCACTTCAAGATATCTCTCCACCACAGCTCTGAATCCATCCACACTCAGACATCCTTCAAAGAAAAGAGCTTTCTTGTTGCTGCTCCCCTTCAGCTCCGGATTCACCAGCACCTAATAACAACCCCCAGAATTCAAGCTTTTTTTTTGTTTTATAATCTCAACAGCAACAACTCCACGCACAAATTTTATACTCTGTACCATGAGATCAAAGGGACGTCTTTCTTGAGCAAGAATCTCTTCCTTTGGTGCGTAACTTATATACTCTTTTGTATCTTCCAAAACAATAATCTGCATCACCATGAAAAAAAGGATTCAAGCATTCGAATTTGACAAGGGGAGTAGAGGAAAAGCATTAGGCTTACTTACTCTCAAGGGAATACCAATCTGAGGAGCAGCGAGGCCAACTCCAGGAGCCAATCTCATAACTTTGACCATATCATCAATTATCTTCTGAATACGCTCCGACTTGATTTCCTCCGGGTCAACTTCTCGGGCCTTCTCGTGAAGAACCGGGTCTCCAGCTGCCACTATATCCGGTAAGTCCACTTTCTTCTTCTTGTCCCCTAGACCCAATAGCCAACCGGCCTTCGTGGTCAAAGAGGAAGAAGAAGAAGAGGAACTATACAGCTTACGGTTCAACAATAGTGAGGAATCGGGTCTTGAAACGGGGAACCGAATCGAGCGACATGTCACGGCGGCGGAAACCGGAAGTAGACGAAATGAGAATCTGAAAAGGGTTTCCATGGCCGTCGCTTGGTCACAAGGAGTCACATTGGTCATTTCTTGAAATATGGTTCTTTGGGCCTGCTACAGCTAACGTCTGCGCTTCTTTCTGCCCATTCTCTTTGTAGCCCAATGGAATTTGTCTCTTTGTTTCCAACAAATATTAGTAGTCTAGTATATGTCTATTTTGATATTTGTGGTCTACTTGCTAGTTTAGTGATTTTATGGGACAATTATGAAAATTTACATTTTTATATAATAAATAAAATAAAAATGACTTAACAAACTAGTTTAAATGTGAAGCTGACAAAAAAAATTGAATACTCAAAGAACTCTAAAGACTAATTAATTCTAAAGTCTGAAAACTAATCATATATACACCCGAAATCTCAAACTGTAAATTTTAATATTTCAAAAGTGTGCTAGTACAGAGTGTTGTCCTACTTCAAAATATGGTATATTTTCTCAACTTTGAAACAGGTATACATGTTAAAGTTTCTAAAGATTTTTTTTTTTTAGTTAACCCTTATTGAATTTTCATGCATGCGTTAGTGATGTTATACGGAGCAATCCACCACAGGTCCAAAACGTACCTAAAAAGAAAAACTGTAAATACATTATTCATATTGCAATTACAAAAATAATATCCTACTCTAGTGATCCAAATATCTTGTTTTAACGTGTAAGGAATGGATTGAAAAAAAAATGAATTGATGTTAGCTAATGGCCAATAACACGTAACAGTTCATAATCAAATCGCAAGCCTAGCAGCAGTACGTTGGCTTTGAACCAAAATTTTATTATATATGGCAAATGTATGATACATAATTCAACGAATCTGCCGAAAATTCATTAGTTCGGTTTGGAGTTAGGTTAGATGCAAAGTGAGTAAGTGCTAACTTAAGCCATATGTAAACTTCTTTGTTATTTTATAATTTTCTCTTTTTAAAAAAGCGGGAAGAGAGGGTTACCGGAGCGGCGACAATGGGAATAGAGGGCGGTGAGTTAATGAAGAAGCTAATCTCCGATGCTTAAGCCGTAATTCTTGCCGTATAAACAACGTTGTTAAAAAATAGTTAGTACTTTTGGTTAATGAAAAATGGTCAACTTTTATTTAGCTTTTTGGAATATTGCTTTCTTGCTTCTCCAAATTACAACAAAGTCAAATCAATAGTTAGGCAACATCTTTTACATTTCGTCCAAGCAGAATCTTATATTTGATGCTGTCTTCCAATAATAAAACAGGACTAATGCATGCCAATGTATATATACTGTTCTATTCAATTTAAAATGTCCGATTTATTTTGTGTACATATACCAAATATGTAATTAATCTGCTCGATGTGGATTGCGCTAGAAAATAAGCTGCAGTTGTAAAATCAAAATAGCTAATCTCCTTGTTGATCAATTTCATAGCATATTTTATTTTGCAGAAAATACATTTTGAATGGAATTAATAAAGATAAATAAAGTAGAGGCGGTGATTTGAGGATGGTTCCTCTGCCGCTGAGTCGCGTATATAACTTGAGATTCAAGATTCGATTTCTTTTATTCCTTCAACATTCAAATATGGTTTCCGTAGAGGAAAAAAGTATTATCTTTTCCTTCAAATGTAATTCTTTCTTATTAAAAAATAAAACTATCAAAATTCCCCTATAAATACTTAGGTCTCGGATCAGCATCCAAAATATCAAACAACTCGTACCCTCTCTCCATAATCAAATCAGGAAACACAAACACTCATACACATCCACCATGAAGAACAACATCAAGAACAATATGAAGATGAGTTCGTCACAAGAAAGTGGTCGTGGGCCTCATGGTACTACTACTAACATCGTAGTTACAGATACGATGAATAAGAAGGTAGAGAGGAAGGCATCGATGGACGTGGACCAGTGCGCCGAAGCTTTCATCACAAATTTCAGAAAGCAGCTTCTTCTCCAGCGTCTCGAATCCATCGAAAATATGCTCTCTAGGGGCCTTTAACGCTATTTATCAATACACACTTGACACTTGTATGTATAATGCATGATTCCACGTGTATAATTTCTTACTTATATAGACACTCACTCCGAATGTCTAATGTCTAGCACGCATAGTGTATTGTTTGAGAGAAAATATTAGTCACTTTGAGTTGGATGTCAATTTTATAGATTTCCGTAATGAATGGATATATATGTCATTTATATATATATATATATATATATATATTTTGAATTCGGCTGGATAACTTGATGAATCTAAAAAAAGAGAAAATGAATTTGAGACAAACACCCTTTGTATAGTTTTTAATAAAAAAAAGGTAAATTTGTGAATAATTTCATACAAACTTTTAAAAAACCTTAAAACCTCTATATAAGCCTAACAACCTACAATTAGGTAAAGTGAACTATTGTATTTTTTCTTGGATGTACAAACTTGTTAGACCCATTTTGAGATTTTCGGGTCTCACACAACAAAATAAACTATGTTTATTATATAAATCGTGAGTTTTGAAAGAAAATATAGTATTTTCATGATTATAAAATCATAAAAATTATAACAAACTTTAATTCTTTAACCACATTAACAAATTATTAGAATCTATCAATGTCAATCTAGATAATATTTGATTCAGTAATTCACCTCTCTCACATAATTTGGAAATCAAATGTTAATCTAACTGTTTTTGAATATAAGTTCGTGTAAGTATGTTTTTCAAAATTCGGAGCCGCATGTCTCACAGAAAATATGCTCATGACCGGTTTTGCTAGCATGTCCATCTCAAAACTGATCCAATTGTAGGATCGGTTGATTTGAACCTAGCTACAAATACATAGTACGGCACAGTCGTTGTGTTACTTGATGACTTGATGGGAACCAACGAAAGCAATGTACATATGTAAGCTTTAATTCCCTTGATTATATTATTCAGTAAGATGAGCGAATGGAATGATCATTTCCTCGAGGAGAATCACATTCACTGACCCACGATTGGTCTCTTATTCATTACAACCAAAATCAAACACAGCAATACATACACAGACAAACACATGCAACAAAAACAGAGATCGTTTACTTAAGGGTGGACCACTTGGTGGATCTGAGTCTGTGGTTGTGGCTGCACCATCTGGTGGAGCTTAACTCTTGAGCAGGACCGAGCCATTCCTCCTACGAGGGGGACAACAGGGAGGCTGTCACAGTTGCAGATCTCGATCATGAAGCCATCAGGGTCGTGGAAGAAGAGCTGCTCCACTTGGATCCCTCCTTCTTCTACTATCGACCTCGCATACTCTATCTCCAATTCCTCCAGCTTTTTCTCCACTGCTCCCATACTCTCGCACTGCATTACCACAATTAATCAGACCAAATTTCCAATTAAAACTTATATATTCCCCCCAAAAAACAGAGCAAAAAGTATATAGGTCACTTTTTTTCCTTGTAATCTCATTCTCTCTTAACTCACACCCTACATAAACAATGTTTTGAGTCATAAGACCGATTGGTTTATTGTCAATAATGGGAACAATGAATACTTCTACCTCACAAAAAAACTTGACCTATAACCCCTCACGCCTTATCCATCTCTGTTGTCTCATAAATTCAGTCACATCAAACTCTACTTTAAAACTCTACCTTTATAGTTTAATCAGGGATTTAGTAGCTCATTATTTAACCAATTTGGAGTTTTCACAAAAAGGTACATAAATTTAGAGGCATTTTTTCTAAAGGCAACATCTAATTACAGAGCTTGTATGCATGTAAATGATGTTTTAGGTTTAAAATGCACAAATGTTAAACAAAATAGGGGACAAACTGAGAAGAACAAAACAATAATAACCTGGAAAGAGATGTGATTATCCTTGGTATTAATCGTAGTTTTCTTGGGAAGTTTCTCAGGTTCTGGGGCACATAGGAGGTGTACTCCAATTCCATGTCCAAACAACCTAAACCCAAACAAAACAAAAAAAAAAAAAAAAAAACATATCAAAAACTCGTTTATAATTTTCTGTAAACCCACTTATATTATATATTTATAGCTAAAATGATAATTAAGATAGAGTATATACCAAGCGCCTTCAAAATTTAAGGACTCAGGCCTTCGAATAGGGATGAACCCTAACACCTTCTGGTAAAAGTTCATCGTTTCTTCGATGGATCGACACAAGAGAGAGACATGGTTCAGTGACGTCAGACGGAGAGGGTTTCCTGCGTTTTCCTTCATTTTTCCTGAGAAAACTCCTAAGAAATTAAAGCCAAAAAGACACCAAAAAAGTAACGCCGCCTCCGATCAAGAATCCAAATACAATGGCGTCGACGTTGAAATAGGCGAGATTGATTGAAGCTGACGATGCAGAACGGGAACGCTATATATATTATATTTTATATATATAGTCGTGGGTGTATGTATATATAGATGTGTAGAAGGAAGGTAAATTGGATAACTACGGAACTTATCTGATGATTAGATACACTTTGGCCATGATGGCGTATTTATAGAAGGCGTCTAAGCAAATGGCAAATTATTGGGTTTTTAGTAAAATTTAACCCTTATGATTAAAAATTAGTTAATTATATGGGTGGATCATCACATTAACGTGGCAAATTCGGCCTATAACATAATCTTTTCTTTATAGATTTAAGGTTTGATTGTTAGTACTTAACAAAATTAAACAATAGCATAAATAAACCTAAAATTCATTAATGATATATTGTTTAATAGGATATTTGATATGTAAGTAAATAAATGCAACTTATGATCGAAATTGAGTATAATCTCATCCACTACGTGTAAATATATAACGATTCGGAAATAATAAAGAATGTGATGGTGAACAACTACGACTACTATACATGATAAAACAACTACGACGACAAAAATAATTGAAAAAAAATGACGTGATTGGTAAAAAGGAGAGGTGATAATAATATGTGAAATTGGGCGGTTACATACGGAAAATGTTGGGTTCCTGGCACTGTCAGGATGAGTTCGACACGTAAGAAGCCAAACAAGCTGACTCGGACAATCACAACTTCTAGTTTTTTCCTTAACCTAAACCAAATTTCATGTTTTATAAGATTAGGATGCTATTGGACACGTCAGCAATTATCAAACGTAACTCTTTTCACTTTTGTTCTTTTGTTGCACTGATTTTGGTCATGTGTTGCCGTGTCCAAGATCAGTTTGGATTGTCCCAATTACCAAACGCTTTTGTATGCGATATTTTGGTCCGGCTTCAAAAATTCTGTAGACACGAGTAGATATATTACTTTTTTTTTTCCACAACCCAATTGTTACATCACATTTGGCCCGTTAAGGAATTGGTCCGAAAACCATCCTCAGCTGGCTCGTTATGAATGATTTGGGAGAAAATTTCGTCTCTTGCTCGATCTCCTTTTGCAAGACTATCTGCTCGAACATTTGAACTTCTGAGGATATGTGATAGGTTGAAATCCAAAAAGCTTTCTAGAAGAATACGAAGGGCTTCCAGCTCTGATGAAAAGGATGGCCAATCCGATGAAGATTCATACATGCTTACTAAATCCGAACAATCGGTCTGAAAGTGAACGGATAAGATTTGTCTCTCTATCACACAAGACATAGCCCATAACAGACTCTCCAATTCGGCATAAAGGGCTGATAGGCTTCTGCAGCAGCCCTGTAGGCCAAAGATCTCACCACCCCTCTCATCCTTTAGACTCCATCCGAGCCCACTTACCAGGCCGTTACTTATCCAGAAAGCATCGACCTGACACAGTGGTAACCTCTCGACATCGGGTAGAGGACTTTGGAGCAAAGTAGTGAGTGGCGCCTCATCTGGTTCGTCCTCTACTTCTTCTGGTTGGTTTGCAATCTTCCAACTTTCTGCTTCAACCTTGGCGTGGATCAGGGTATCTACTGGGGAAATTTCTTTCCTGTTGTAGATCTTGTCGTTCCTCGCTTTCCAAATATACCACAAGATCCAAGGATAAAAATCTTTTTGAGGATCTGTCATGCCTAGCTCTTTTGTTTTCCAAAAGAGAAAGCTCATATTTTGGTAAATAGAAGTACTCGGGAAGAGACCCGGAAGGGATAGAAAGTCCGATAACGCCCAGACTTGTAAAGCCGGGGGACATAAAAATAAAAGATGGTTAATAGATTCTTCAGGATTCCCACAGCAGGGACAACTCTTATCTATTCACATATGCCTGTAGGTTAGGTTTTGGCAAGTAGCAATACATCCTGATAAAGCTTGCCACATAAAATGCTTCATTTTTCCAGGCGTCCGTACTTTCTAGACATAGCTTTGAAGGGCTGTGATACTCGGTTCTCTCACGACATCCAAATTCTGTTCAAGGTTTGATTTCCTAATCAGGTCATATCCGGATTTAACCGTGTATATTCCTGATTTAGTATGGTTCCACGCAAATCCATCAAGGGTACGGTTCCTACTAGGTCGCAACCCAAAGGATGAGAGAGACATCTTCAGGTTGGAAAAATTCTCTTAGAAGAGGCTCATCCCATTGCTTCGTGTCTTGCCGAATAAAGGAGTAAACTAACACTCCTGGGTCCTGTATTCCGATTTGGGGGGTTGCTCTTGGTGGACGGGCCCTGGCATCGGGGATCCAAGGCTCACTCCACACCCTCGTATTTAGTCCCGACCCTATCGTCTTTCTTAGTCCCATTTTGAGATACGGTTTTGCGGCCAACATACTCCTCCATCCATAGGATGGTGAGTAGACATTTCGATCCTCTAACGGATCTGATTGTCGATAATATCTTCTTCTTAGCACCCGAGCCAGAAGAGATGAAGGGTACTGAATGAGTCTCCATAGTTGCTTCGCTAGCAAAGCTAGATTAAAATCATTTAGATCTCTAAAGCCAAGGCCTCCCATGTCCTGTGAAATACAAATTTTGTCCCAGGCAATCCAGTGGATTCCGCTGCTAGTTTGTTTTGAACTCCACCAAAAATTGGCAATGGCGCTCCGAAGTTTGTCTGTAACCCCTTTAGGAAGGAGGAAACAAGACATGACGTAAGTGGGGACGGTTTGAGCCACTGATTTAATCTGAATCTCTTTTCCACCCTTGGAAAGAAGTCTTGCGGACCAATTATTAACACGATTACTAAGGCGTTCATGAACAAAAGAAAAGACCTTCTTCTTTGATCCACAGATTTGCTCAGGTAGGCCTAGGTACATGGCCATGCCGCCTTCTGTAGAAATACCTATGGTATTTTTAACACTTCGTTTGAGATCTGGGTCCACTCTATCTCCAAACATGATGGATGATTTCCCCAGATTAAGTTGTTGTCCCGACGCCATTCCATAAGTGTTTATGATTCGAAGAATCTCCGCTCCTTGTTGGATATCCGCTTTACAGAAAAACAGGCTATCATCAACAAAGAAAAGGTGGGAAACTGGGGGACTTGCTTGAGCTATTTTCAGCCCAGAGATTCGCTCCTCTTCCTCTGCTCCCTTGAGGAGCGAGATAAGGCCTTCTGTGCACAGAATAAAGAGGAAGGGGGAGAGAGGGTCCCCTTACCTTAAGCCCCTCGACGGTTTGATATTACCTTTAGGTTCTCCATTAATAAGGACCTGGTATGAAACTGATGAGATACAAAACATCAGTAAACTGACCCATCTCGATGAATATCCTAACTTGATTAGGAGAGCTTCAATGAAACTCCATTCAATTCGGTCATATATTTTGCTCATATCTGTCTTGATAGCCATAAAATTTTCTCTACAATTTGTGTTGGTTCGGAGTGCGTGAAAATTTTCTTGCGCTAACAGAATATTATCTGTAATAAGTCGTCTAGCCATGAAGGCCGATTGTGTTTCTGAAATGATGTTTGGAAGTGTCTTTTTGAGTCGTTTGCATAAAAGCTTGGAGATGATCTTGTAACTGACGTTACAAAGGCTGATTGGGCGAAATTCCCCCATTGCTCTAGGTTTGTTTATTTTTGGGATTAGACAAATATTTGTCTGGTTAAGTCTAGGATCAAAAGTTCTGGTGCTGAAAAAGTTTTTAACCAGTTTAACAATATCTTGGCGAATAAAAGGCCAGAATTTTTGGTAAAATTTGCTTGTCATACCATCAGGACCAGGAGCTTTATCCGGGTTAATATCGAAAAGCGCATCTTTAATTTCTTTCTCCGACGGATCCTTCAAAAGTAATTGATTTGTATTATCTGAGACTTTCTCGGTAATAAACCGGAGAGAATTTTCTGGGTCTGAGGGGATAGACGAGGAGAAAAGGTCTTGAAAATATGTAGCGGCCACTTTTTCTATTCCTCTTGCATTTTCCACCAAATGTCCGTTACTATCCTTAAGGGAGACGATGCGGTTCCTGGCTCTCCTTTGTTTAGTAAGGGCATGGAAGAATTTTGTGTTCTTATCACCGTTTTTGTGCCATTTTTCTCGACTCTTCTGTTGCCAGAGCATTTCTTCTTCCCTGAGAGCAGCACAAAGTTTCCTCCTGATGTCTTCAATCTCTTCTAGTGTTGTATTATCATCATCTTGGGCTAAGTCCAATTGGTTTTTTAATTCTTCGATCATTTTTTCCGAGTTGGTCGGAGAGAATTTCTTCCAAATAGAGATGTTTTTCCGGCATTGTGCAACCTTTTGATGAAAACCTCGACGTGAGATTTCATTAAAGGGGCCCCACCCGGAAATGACTGTCTCTTTAAAACCAGGTTTTCCGATTCATCTCTTATCAAATCGAAATGATTTTTTCTTCCTTATGTTGTCAATTTTTATCATAGCTAGGACTGGTCGATGATCTGAACCCCAAAGTTTCATATACTCCGCAGAAGAGTGAGAAAATTTTGAAAGCCATTCTTCATTTCCAAGAACTCTGTCTAGACGGCATTTGACTTTGCCAGACCGTCTTCTTCCAACCCAGGAAAATGAATTTCCTTTGTATGGGAAGTCCAGCATTCCACAGTTATCAAGCATAGTCCGAAAAGGAATAAATGAGTATTCTGGTCTTCTCCGACCTCCTCGTTTCTCATGATTGCCGGTAATCTCATTAAAATCTCCTATCATAAGCCAGGCTTCTTTTCTGGTAGTACTCATCCTTGTTAGACGTTCCCAAACATTTTCTCGATTTTTTATAACTGGATCACCATAGACGAAAGTCATAAAAATTTTATGTCCGTTTAGGCTTGATTCAACATCAATCAAATGCTCATCAGAATAGAGAATAGAGACCGTAGGTTCATCCATATAAAACAGGGCTAAACCGCCGCTTCGACCTCTAGGTTCAACAGTGAAAACATGATCATATCCAAAATGAACTTGCATGTCTTGCAGAAGATAACGATTATTTTTGGTCTCCGACAAAAATAGAAACCTCGGTTGAAAACATTTGTAAAGTTCTTCTAAATGATCTTTTGGCAGATCCGAACCAGCTCCTTGACAATTCCACCCGATGACGTTCATTACGGTCAGTAGTTTCTGATTTTTAATTTACTTGGTTTTAATCCAAAGTAGACTTGGACAATCAATTTTTAAAATTTATGTGTGTTTTAGCCAAAAACACTCTTTAAACTTTTATCAGTTACAATATTTCTTGGGCTTAACCCAGAATTGAATGAGATCCACTAATTTAATGATCCAAAATCAGTTGGAACTAAGTCAAAATTATTATTATTATTTTTATTTTTATTTTTTTCTCTTTTTCCTTGCCAGCTGCAAGATCGGCGAGCTAAGATCGAGGACCAAAACGTCGGAGGAAGACAAAGATCGCTGTCCGGAGAGCTTCAGACGGTCAGAATTAAATTATGTCTAGTAATTTGGTGGCTCACAAATTTGCTGGCCCAAAACAAAATACGAAATTAGGCATTTTTTTTTTTTTTGCCGTCGATGAAATAGTCTTCGCCGCCACAAACAACTGATCTGAAAATTGGTGAATTTTGGAGATCCGGACTTTTTTAGAGTAGATATATTACTTTAGGCGGAACTACTTGATATTTTTTTCCTTGAACCCAAAAAAAACATAAATATATTATTTCCGTACATACATCAGTATTATATTTTCTGGGTGGACAATATATATTTTGGGGTGTCAAAATGATGTTTTGTTATATGTTTTAAAAGGTAAATTTTACACAAAAGTTAGAAAAGAAACTTTTGAATTTGTTTTTTGTTTGTCATCTATAACTTACACAAGCAGATTATCATTATCGTATTTGCATTTATTATATGATAAAGTTTAGAGATAATTGGCTAAAAGGGTAGTTTTAAGTTTTTAATTTGCCAAAAAGGTATGTTTTGAAAAAGTGGATATGTTTGGGTAGTTTTTATGTGTTAATATCTATATTATCCTCCTAAATTCAGTTTATTTACATTTCTATGCTATTATAATAAATTAAGTATTAAATAAAATAAAGGAAGAAAGAGAAAACAAAAGGAGGAAAAGAAGAAAAAAGAGATTGTGTGAGAGAAAAAAAAATAGATCTTAATTAAAAAATATTATTTTCTTTTTCTTCTTTTTTATTTTTTCTTTCTCTTTTAATTCATTCACTCTTATATATTATTTACAATAATAAAATATATAATAATATATATTTAAAAAATTCATAGATTTTTTTCTACATCTTTTGAAATTAGAAAAACTTGAATGGTGGATAGGATAGGATAGTGTTAAACAAAAAAAAATCTTGACATAAAACTCCTAAAAAGTAGATTTTAGGATTTAAAAAATTTATAAATTTTTTTCTACACATTTTGAAATTAGAAAAACTTGAATGGTGGATAGGATAGGATAGGATAGTGTTAAACAAAAAAAATCTTGACATAAAACTCCTAAAATGTAGATTTTAGGCCTTGATTGTTTGCAGTTTTTTTAACAGATTTTAGTTTTCGTTTTTCAAAAAACCATTTTATTAACCAGTCAAGTTTTTGAAAAAAATGAATTTCTTAAATTATAGGAAAACTAGTTTTTCAGATTTTTTTTTCTAAACAAAAACCAAAAACCATCCTATATGGATTTTTCAAAGAAATTTCGTAAGTTTTTGTTATTTACTTGTTTAAATACTGCTATTTTTTCAATAAGTAATTATGAGAAAAAACTATATTTCTAAAATAAAAAATGTATAATCAAAACAAAATCTCATTTCTAAAATAACCTCATTTTACTTATGTACATTTTTATATATAACTTTTACTCTAGAAAAGATCTATAACTTTTACTCATTTTACTTATTTATTATAATTTTTCAGTTAATTTTCTTAGAAAAAATATATGATTTGAAACTTCAATTTTATTTATTTAATTTTGTAAATTTTAAACACATAAAATTAAATTAAAATTAAAAAACATAGAAACGTTAAAAAACAATTATTGATAAGAAAATCAGAAACTAAACAAATCACACCATTTAAGATTTTAGAAAACAAAAATCTACAGAAAAATCAAAAACCAAAATTTTAAAAACCAAAATTCAAAATCAATAATCAAAAGTTAAAAATCAGAAACCAAAAACTAAAACCCATGCAAACATTCATGGGCCATAATTTTTTGTTTAAAAATTGGAATTTATTTTAAAAACTAGTTTTCTTAAAAAATAAAAATCAATTTTGTCAAAATCATGATTGGATAAAAAAATGATTTTTTGAAAAACAAAAATCAAAATCTATTCTATAAACTGCAAACATTCAAGACATTCAAGACAGTATACTTCAGTTATATACATTAGACATGGTATTCAATTGAATGTATTCAGTCGTACACTGAATTGTGAATACTTAATAATTGTACACTGAATTGTGAATACTTAATAGTTGTACACCAAATAAATGGTGAATACCATTGAGTGAATATCTTCAGGTGTACACCAAATGGTGAATACCTTTATTGTGTACATCAAATAAATGAATATCAAATCATGAATACTGGTGAATACCTTTATGTGTACACTGGTGTACACCTTTATGTGTATACTGATGTACACCAAATGGTGAATACTTTTACATGTACACCAAATGGTGAATACTTTTACATGTACACCAATCGGTGAATACTTTTACGTGTACACCAAATGAATGAACAACAAATCATAAATATCTAGGGATGAATACTTTCAGATGAATACCGTTAAATGAATACTTGATAGTTGTACATCAAATGATGAATACTTTCAAATTTTTATGTATATTGCAAAAAAATCAAATATTGTCTGTTTTAAAAAATTCAAATTTTTGTATGTGTTAAAATTTTTTTTTATATTTCTAATATATATATATATATTATTAAATGTTTTATTATTATGAATAATTTACAATAATTGATTCAAGGGAAAAAATAAAAAGAGGAAAAAGAAAATAATAATATTTAAATACACTATTTTTTTTCATCTCTCACACTCTTTCACGCTCTCTTCCACTATCTCCCTACTCTATTTTACTCTCTTTCATTTTCCCTCACGTTCTCCTATGCTCTCTTCCTCCTAATAAGGGTTCATTTGCCATTTAAAAATGTTATTGTTCAAAAACTACCAAAAACATGAACCAAAATACACACCCTTTTGACCAATTAAAAACTTAAAACTACCTTATTTGCTAAGAAGCTCTAAAGTTTATCACAAACAAATAGAGGCTTCTTGCCTTGTAAAAAATATTGGTTTTATAATATTTCATATTAGATTGATTGTTTTTGGTAACAGAGAGACTACTGTAGTTGTCAATAAATAAAAACATTCGGAAAAAAATAACGGACATGCCAGTTAACTATACGAGTGGAGAGAGATGAATAACATGTATTCCAACTGTATAAAAAAGAGAAATACTTTTAAATAATAGATTTTTGTTTTCAAATCTTGCATTTAAATTCAAAATTCCAAAATAGCACAAATAATTATACAAAAATACTTGTTTACTCAAAATAAATTACAAATAAAAATAAAAATATTATGTTTAGGTTCATTATTTCTCATTTAGGGTTTAGTTTTTTCACAGTAAAAAAAAAATTTGAGACATTTTACTATTAAAATTGTGTTACTATTGTCAATTTTAACTAGTGATGCTAAGTTTAGAACAAACTTTTTAAAGTGTGTTATTTTGGACAATTACCCAAAAAAGGCCGGCTGAGTTTCTTGGATTTTAGCCGGATCGTTACGTTTTACCTAATTTTCCTTGATTTTATAATTTTACTTTACAGTTTCATGCTCCATAATTCGAGATTTGTTCTGAAATTGAGAAGCGAAAAACAATTTGTACGTTTTTTACGCTGAAATAGCTTTAAAGTATGATTAATATATTTTTCAGTGAGTGTAGATTTGTCACTTACTTCAAAAAGCACCCACAATAGACACTTTTTAAAGTTAACTTATACTGCTACTTGGCATCTATCCAGCCTTTTCTCTTGTCGAAGGGCCGATAAAATCTAACCTGGAATCCAAGTCAAGATTAATAAGTCTTTTTATAACTAGTTTCTTTGATTTAAATAGTTTTGCTCAACTGCATAGTCGAAGCAGCTAGTGCGTACCGCATTCATAATTAAAATACATGTTTAACAAGCAAATGGTAGGCCGATTAATGAAGTGGCTCAACATTTTTTGTCCTTCTGTGTAATGGAAGTACAAAAACAAAATCTAATAACTTCAAACTCGAAATCGCCAAGACACGTTGCTTCCTTTTATTGTATGGTTAAAGGAAGTTCAATTTTTCTTTTTCTTCTTCTTTACCAACAAGCAACTAACGTGTGAGATTGAAACAGATTGATATATTCTCTTCTTTTTTCACGGTACCAGGAAAGAGTGTGGACTGTTGCTGTGTTGCCTGTGAAGAACACAAACCGTTTCTATATGTAAATGTTTTTGGTTTGCCCGGAAGAAGAGGGAAATATCATGAGCTGATTGATTGATCGAAGCGCATGCAGTTTGGCTGATCCATATAGCTTCTCCAGCACATGACGTCGAGTGGTCATAACTTTGCGTTTACCAACTTAGATTACAACTAAAATAGACCATGTATCAATTCCTGGAGGCTTTTAGATGGAAAGCTGACAATCAAAACAACTGTATTAAGATAAAGAGATAGCACAGTGGATCTTGGTTTCAGAACATGTCTATGCTACTACCTCTTTATCTTAATATAGTTGTTTTGATTGTCAGCTTTCCATCTAAAAGCCTCTCGGAAATGGAAACCTTCACGCATAGCATGCGGAAGAGTCCTCTGATGAAACCTTCAAGCACACCTAACTTGTGGAAGAGTGCTCTGATGCTCAAGCATTTCCTCCATATAATCAACCCAATAATTTATATGCTACTTTTCCATTATCGAACCTAAAGGTAATTCACATGCGAGAGTAATCAAAACCAGATTATTGGAGGAATTTTTTTTGACAAACAGTTAGAACCAGCTACTTAAGTAGAATCCTCAAGTTAAATTGAACAATCAGTAACAATCACCACACCAAACTGCTTCAGTCCAATGGAACAATAGCAGTAGATGATACTTGAATATATGATAGAGAGAAATGATTCAACAAACAACATATTCCCTGGGGAGTGAGAAATGTAGTATAAAGACTAGAAGAAGAATGTGTGGTTTGGTTGGACCAAATCAAAACTCAGAAGGAGGTTTCAATCTAATGAGCCGCTTGATCCTGTCTTTGTCGGTATTCTCCAGAAGTCCGTTCCAAACGATTTCATCAAGACACAAACAAATCCTTCCATATTTATCCAAAAACACTCGCTCTGTTGGAGGTTTTCCGCATATGTCTTTCACAGCCCCTGTTATGATAAAGATGGCTTCTGCCACTGCGCCACAAAGAGAAAGAAAAACAACACAGATTCAAACACTGAATGAATCACAGATCAGCTGATTTGCACAGAGGGGAAACAAAAAAGGCTTACAAGCAAGTTCATCGTACTCGTCTTTGCCAACAAGGAAGATGCTAACATCCCCTAACATTGTGTACACGATATAAACCGACCTGCACAAACAAACCCTCTGTTACTTCCATAGCCAAATGCTGTTAAGTTCTATTTAAGTGATTTGCTCCAAAATGCCACAAGGAAACTAGAGGAAGTTCGATGTACTTGTGGCAAGCGACGAGGAGCTCCTCGTTTTTAACACCTTTGAGATTCTCTGCTCCCAACTTTACCAAGAAAGATCGCCAGGTCAGCCGTTCCTCAGCTGGCACTCCATTGAACCTGCCAGATTCAAAGCTTCTGATGAGTTGTTACTAAAACTCACATGATGTATCGGTGATCACACACGATATCCACTTCATCTACAGAGATTTACAATGCGATAACTTAAATGCCGATAAGAGAACACAATCACATACTAATGGCATCAAGAATTGGGTGGTTGGGACAAAGACAATCTATTATCCATCACCCTCTTCTCTCTAGGATTCCTATCAGAGATCAAATGTTTGGGATATCTCCAATTCTAGTGTGTACAGAGGGAAAGAGAAATCTAATTTCTGTTAAAGCTTCCAGCTTTCTCGCTCAATCTGGGATGAAAAGTCAGAGACACACAATTTCAACAACTTCATAACTGTGGTCGACAATAAAGGGTCCAGATCCATAAACAAGATCAAGAGCTACGGCAATGCTCGATTTTTTATCTTTAGAGAATCAAACGAAACAAGCCAATAAGTTTGCGATCAAATGACTAGGAGCAGAAGATACTAATACAAGTTGCGAAATCGACGATAATATTGGGGGAAAAGAGAAGATGGGATCTGGGTGCGAAACCTTTCGATCAATACGTTCCCTACGGAATTGGCGAACAACACTGCTAGGATCATGATCTTCCTCTGCAAAATTATTTCTTTCTGCGATTCCTTTTAGCCTTTCTTCGCCTTTTTAGTTTTTATTGCTTCTTGACTTCAGATTCGCTTCTCTTTTACTTTTTTTTGTTTTTGTTTTTTTAACTACCGTAATTACCTAGCAAAATCGAGTAATATCGAATTCGACAAGGGGCCTATACGTAATTTCAGTTGCACGAATATTTGATCCATTTTTCTGTTTTCAGTAACAAGTTTTTTTTTTTTTTAAGGTTCTTCATTAATAAAATTGTAGAAAGTTTATTTATTTTTATTTTTTTTCAGTGAAAACTTTTCACAAATCTATTCATGGATTCACTTTTCACTAACCTATTCATGGATTCACTGATGTCAAAAAAGAAAAAAAAAACTTATTGACAAAGTCTCCTCCAGCCTTTATTACTTGTTAAGCCCGATTAATTCTTGTGAACTGAACTAACCACTCTATCATATGAGTATATTCATCTTTTCTAGTTAATTTGATTTCTTTTTTTACTAATTAAGATGTTATATATATCCTAAGTAAAAATATTAAGTGGATGTAGATACACTTGATAGTTAAGTTAGATGGGGAAGAGAAGATGTTGATAGTTTAAAAAATGGAAGGTCAACATCAATGGAGAGTTTAAGGAAATGTGTCAATGTTCCAAATCTATCAAGAGAAAGTAGAGACCACATTTTTCTTTCTTGTTACCTCCATTATTTCATTTTCTCCCTCTATTACGCTACTTATATGTTATAGCCAATTTCTTCGTAGCTTCGTAGATATATTTAATTAAACTCACCTTAAGAAATTTAAAAAATAAAAATAAAAAATCAAACTGGTGAGCTTGGGAATAGAAGAAATGAAAGAAAGAAAAGTTTAACCATAGAGTATGAACGGTCAAGTGGAAGTTAAAGTGAAAAGAGGACAAGTCATAATGATGAGCACAAACAAGTACCAACAAGCTTCTGTGGAAGTGAAAGTTGAAGCTCTGGTTTAACCTAATTCGTTTTGCCTTTCGCCTTCTATTGTACTTTTTGAAAGTTAAAGAATCCTAACTTTATTTATCAAAAAAAAAAATCCTAGCTTTATCAATTCTTCGTTACTAATGCTTAACATTTTTTTTTGTATGCGTGAAGTTAATTGATGTATTAGTTAAAACAATAATCTCGTCGCCATTTTGTATAAAAGATCTTTGTTATCACGTTTGTGTTATAACACTTTTGGAAATTTATCACGTCTCTAGCTTTTTTGTTGAAGATTTATATGGTCACTACACTACTAAGTTTGGATATGACGAATCGTACAAATTTTGGTGGAGAAAAAACAAATAACAATCGTTGATTTGGAAGGTTTAAGGATTCAATCATATAATCTTTGATTCAAAACGTCACAATTAGACGTTGATATTTTCTATATATAACAAAAAGGAAAGAATAATACATGCTGATGTTGGCGCATGATTTATGATTTATTTACAAATATGAAACACACAAATGAAAGTTACGTACGTCTCTTATCAATCAAAATCCATTGTTTTCATTAATGCACCTTCCTCTCTCGGTTAGACAATGAACGTTTTATAATTTGTAGAAACTAGAGTAGTCGAATTTTCTTTGTGTAAGCATCTTTTCTTCAACTCGTGAATCTCATAATATATTGATCTTCTCTATATATAATATATGTATTATTATAGATAAAAAAGTTACAATTACTCATGTTGAATTCATAATTCATTCCATGGTCTGTTGATCTGAAATTACTCGTATTATTCTAAGCGCAACTATGTTTATACAATTATACCCCATAATAAAGATTCAACGCCGGTAATGTGAACTCTAGGCTATATATGTATATGGAAAAAAGAAACAAAAACAAATCATTTTATATTAAATTTAATTGCTATATTAGTTAAGCTAAATTTAACAATTATCTTCATTCAACATCATCAGATGCGGAAAAATACAAGATTCTGTTGCGGTGGATTCCTGGAAATTTATTATTATCATTAATGTAAAGTCTCTCTTATCACGCGTGCAAAATTAATTTAAATAATCCCACTAAAAGGAACAATTAGAAAAACTGAATGCATGTGCTTTGTGGGGATACAAAACATATTACAGACCTAATTTCATCAACTATTTAATTTCCCTGTATCATTATTTATCAGGCCCTTGAAATAATGACGGGATATAAACTCATTAGTCAACCCTATATAAAATTAGTTCACATACAAATTTGATTAGCTAGAAAGGGTACTGTCTGTTTTAGTCAGGAGACATACAAATTTGCTATAAATTCATGTACTCTTAACTTATCATGTACTATGCAACATTATTTTATTTTAGTGAATGCAATTATAAGACTAACAGAAGACACAAAAAGAAAAGGGTCATTTCTAGATTGTAGTTACGAACAGTAATACTTTATTGGATACAAATGAGGAAACATGGAACCATATATAACCAACACATTTAAATATAACAGTATTAACAACATATAAAATATACGGTATAATTGATAATTATGGCTATAAATCACCAGTGGAAATAAGTATATATATTATATATAAGCAAATGATATTTAGTTTGTATTGAGAAGCTCCTCTATCATTTGCAAAGCAACCTTCTCTTCCTCGTCCATTAATCCTTCTTCTCCGGCAGCGCCGCCAACCTCAGTGGCCGGAGCAACATCGCCTTGTGAAGCTTTACTAGTAGCCTCTTGCAGGGAGGAGCCCGCAGGACCGAGTTCCACAGTCATGACCCAGCTGGAATCAGACTTGGAACCGGCGCGTTTCTGCCAGACGCCGATGTGGGAGCTGGCCGTATCAAGGCGGAGACAGGTGAGTGAAGGAGAAGGAGACTTGCAGCATTTCCTCAGTTTGGCGCTGAGGATAGCAGAGAGTGATGATGAGGAGGACGAGATGTCTGTTTTGCCCTCAGATGTGTCTCCGGTATTGTTGTTGTTGTTGAGGGGAAAGTTGGTCTTGGCGTTGCGACCGCTCATTAAAACGGCCGCCTCGTCGTAGGCTCTTGCTGCCTCCTCCGCAGTCTCAAACGTCCCCAGCCAAATCCTCCGTTTCCTTTTTGTTTTTCAATTAAATTATCATGCATGTCGTTATAGAATATATATTTATAGTCCGAATAAGCATTACTTTATTCAAAACTAAGGACCTAAAACGAAATCTATAGAGATGTTAAAAAGAGTTTCATGTGTTAGCTATACGGATAGGAAAGCAACTATAGAATATGAACTAGAAAATGAGGAAACGATCATGTATATATATGTATGTGTGTGAGTGTGTTGTGTACTAAATGTATCAGAATAGCTAGGGAAATAAATAAATAACGCAGAAAAAAAGGAAAGAAAGAAGAAAGGTACAAGAGAGGATGACGAATCTCAGCGACCCAAGAACCCCAATGGCGTTGCCTGACACCTCTGAACTTCTTCGTCTGTACCATTCTTACTTACTCTGTGTTTTTTGTCAGAGAGAAAATAGGAATTCTTGATGATGAGTAATATATGTATGATGGATGTTTGGTAAATGGTAATGTTGTATATTTATATATATAGGTTAAATTTTGGTGGATGAAAAGGGTTGTACTTGTTCCTACTCTTATTACATTTGACGTCCTCGCTATTCTATGTCTGTGTGTGTGTGTGTGTGAGAGAGAGAGATAAAATTTAGTTGGAGTTGTTTGGTATAGAGTGATTGCTAATGTTAAGGGATGGTTATAATGGTAAAAACCAGTTAAATTTTTCGAAGGTTGGATCGTATATATGTAGAAAAGGCACAAGTGGTACAAGTGTCACATGGCCGTGTACATTGTTTATAGCATACCTACGTACATCCTAATCAATCGTCCACATCATATAGCTACGTACGTACTACGCCTCTCTCTCTGTTTAATTTGATGCTTGCTTATATTTGTAAACAACTTCGTACGTACGTATAAGCCTTTTGTGTTCACCATTAATTGCATAAGTTTTAATATACTATGATTAAGGCGGATTGAGAATTAAGGCCCAACATCATTCCATATTATAAAGTCTCATTTATACTAGTATGTTGGTTAACAACCAACACTAAGCATCGTTCACAAATCACAATCAGCATTATCAATTCCGATCCTATGTACATATGAACTCTCCTCACACTTTTAGTAATTTTACTAATAGATCTAGCTACAATAAAGCCTTAGTTGGGTTGAGTAAACAGACAGTATAATTTAATGGGATTAATCAATGGTAAAAAGATTGCCACATTAAGCAAACACGTAATAAGCGCTGAGAAAAGTGGTTGTTCACTCGCGATCATATATAAACACATGCGATATACATCACAAATATACATAGAATGACGAAGTTTTATATAAATATAATATGTTAGACAACACAAGTTAAAATGTAAAGAAAGGACAAAAAATAAAGAAAGGGTGGTCCATATGTATATGTGTAATTAGTAGAAGGTTTTGTCAACATATTTAGTTGGATAGAGTACCCACTGCCTAAGCCCTAACTGTTGGGTTGGGTCCAAATTAAGGCTGTTTAGGTGTCAATCTCAAATATATCTCGTTTAATATTTGAGCAAACATATTTAACCTAATGTATGCTTATATTTAATATGATAATATGGAATATACTTTTTTGTTTCTTTGGTGCTATTTGCTGATGGCTGGTTATCGCAGGGTCCACACATCCATGAGTCCGTCACTCAATATTTCATCATTATAGTACTTCATTAATCCTCGTTTTTGGATCTTGCATGTGACATATATATAATTTTTTTTTGGGTGAAGATCTTGCATGTGATTTCTTTTCCATCTATGCCTTTTAAATTTTAATATACTTTATTGTTTTAGTTAGTTATTTTTGCAGTCGATTACTGTAGCTACTTACAGAGTGATGATACTCAATAGTCAATACTCACAGTCATGACTCATGCCTTATGATAATTTGGATTTGGTAGTAAAATTTTGAATCCGTCAGTTGATTAATTTCTCGGAGGTATGGCTATGAGCCCGCTTCGTCGCTATATACACTTATATATATGTGCATCAGTGCATAATTAATTATTGTTATTTTTGACGGGATATAATGATATTTTGTTTTTGTTTAGAACAAATTTTGAACACTAGCTAATATATCATATATATTATAAGCAAAATAAAATTTTGAGTTAAAGCTCTCTCATTCATTCTTAGGGTGGTTAATTACCTTTTATTATTCCTTATATTTTCTAAAATTAAATTTAATAAAAAATTATTAAAAAAATCATAAATTAATTAAAAAATTATTAAAAATCATATATACTATAAGCAAACTAAAATTTTGAGTTAAAGCTCTCTCATTCATTCTTAGGGTGACTAATTACCTTTTACCCTCCTTATATTTTTTAAAATTAAATTTAATAAAAAATTATTAAAAATCGTAAATTAAATAAAATATTAAAAATCGTAAATAATAAAGAAGATGTTAAAGAATAATTTAATAAAAAAACATTTAAATTTCATAAAAGATATTCAAAATCGAAATTTAATCAAAAAATATTTAAAATAGAAAATAACGAAAATTTAAAAATTGGAATTTAATTAAAAAAACATTTAAAATCATATCATATATGAGATATGCGAAGTAAATTTTTTGCTATAAGGTCTTTCATTCAATCTAGGTAACTAATTCCCCTTTATTCGTTAATAATTTGTTTTAACATATCCTTAATTAATTTATTTATTTTTGTAGTTTGTATAACAATTTTGCTGCCACTTTTAGTTATTTTTATAATATTAAGATAATTTCAATCGGATTATCTGTTGAGCAAGATTATCTGAAAAAAAATATACATGTGATGTGGGAAATCTTAGCTTAAGTTGAGAGCTATATATAAATATATTACTTTTTTAAATGTATCTTAAGCTCAATTGTGGTTTGGTTTCTACATTGGTCGGCTTTTCGTTGTATTGTTTACCATCTTTTTTTTTATAAATCAATTTTTCGATTTTTTCTATTGTTTTTCCGTTTCAGTACCAGTAGTA